GAATAATAATAATATACACATATCAATGTATATATCTTCTTAATATACTGTAGGAGTTTTTGTTTTCTTCTGAAATTAACCATTATAGAATGAATGAATCATATATGATTACTTTTCAATGTATGATATTGCAGATTGAAAGAAGTAAAGATATCAGTTTACATTTATGCAAATCTCTCTTATTTCCTTTAAATAGTATATTTCCATTGGCTTCTTTGTTAGTTTAAGTATTTTGGCTTAATAAAATATTATCATTGAATTTTTAACAAAATTAAGAAAAAGGAATTGTTAATTTTTAATGTATGAAAAAGAATCCATTCAATATAAAATAATTGAATTTTAAATTTAATCAGAAATATTTTGGAAAATGAAAATTTTAACGCTACGTATTTTAGCTAATTAATGGAAATTAATATTGTTTAATTTTTTCCAAGTAATTTGCTATATAAATTTTTGCAAAGTGTAATATTGAAGGGAAAATATGTGAACAGATTAATTGATTGTGATTAATAGTTTTGATTATAGAAATTCATAGATTAAATGAATATTGTCAACCGTAGTAGGTTGGTAGGTATATCAAACATTGCTGTGTTTCATTGCTTCATCAGATTAACCAGTTAATTTATTCATTTATTTGGCTAGCCATATTTATATCTTCATATATAATTCATCACTATCATTACTAATAATCGATAATATTTGATGGGGAATATTTAAGAAGGTTTTGGTCAAGTAGTTTGTTACTTATCGTAATGCTAACTATTTCCCCGTCATTTGATCCGTTTTGTTAAAGTTAAGGTCAACAGCTGTTATTGCTTACCGTATATTAAACAAACATAAATATCAATCTTAGAAGAAATTTTCTTTGTATTACTGTAAGCCTGAAATAATTTCACAAAATAAGTTTTAAGCAAAACATGAAAATATCGTAGAATTGATAGAGATTGTCTGTTTTGAGAATATTATCAGTTTTTATTTAAATAGCACTTTCTTGAGTTTACCATTTTTTGACATTTTGACAAATTTATTTAAGAATAATTTAAAATTATGCCTGATTTATCATAGAGTATAAATATTCCGGATATTTCGAACAAGTTTAAAAATATGTATTATTAATTGATATCGGTTAAATGATCTAATCCGGTATTTTAATTTAGCCTTTTTGTTAATCAAGATATTGTTAACAAATTTTATTTCATTGTGAAAGAATTTAAAATCGAACGGGGAAATTTTTCTTGGCACAAAATTTAAATTTTTTAATTTAGAAATTTCTTAGAATTCTTATGAAGAAGAAATAATTGTAAAATTTCAATTTAATATTGTAAGAAAAAAGGAAGCAATTGTATTTTTCGAAAAAATTCTTTATAAAATATAAAATTATTTTGAATTATGAGAAAGATTAAGGCTTTACTGTAAAGATTTGTGATCGAATAGTACAACCTGAATATTGAATATTAGAATATCAAAATAATAACTCAATTTTACATCTTATTCAGGCTATTATTCTTTTTACTTCTTTAATAGAAATAATACATTTTCTAAGCTGAAATTCTTTACAAATTATCTTATTTGGGTGCCATTGAAATTTGAATTTTTAAATGAGTAAAAAATAATTAGATAAATTGTTTAAATGAATTTATTAATATTACTTCCTCATCATTTATTTAAATCTTTTTGAACTTGATAATCTCTTTGCCTCATTTCCATCTATCCCCTTTCCCGCTAATATATGACCTAATATAACCTAGATAGTAATCTGTTGAAGGTTAATAATGTGTTTATAAGGATTAGCCTCTAAAACCACTTATAACAGTGAGAGGGCAGGTGTGTACTTACCTTTCCATCCTATAATCTTTGAATAGATCGAATCAATTCATATAGGTATTACACATAACAAGCAATAATAATCGCAATAATATGAAGCTTAAAAAAGCCGAAGGTTATTATTTTGTGGTAAGATTCTGTGATGCATAAAATTAGATCAATTTTTCATTTTAACCTTTCATTTTTTTTCATCTTCACAAGTATTATCTGAAATGGATGATATAATCTGCTTGATAATTAGATGATTATTCTTCTACATTTTAAAAATAGGAAGGAAAGAAGGAAAAAGTGAAAGGCAAATATTGAAAAACACATGCACAATTTTAGGTAAATAAAACCTGAAATTTTATTCCTGATATTTTCCTTTTTTTCCTCTCTTCTAAGGAATTTGTTAAATTATATTTACAAATAGAATTTCTATTTACAGTAATTTTATTTAAAATAAATTTAACACATTCCCTTTTATTTACAATAAATTTTATTTACAACTATGTTGATAAAATGATTTATTTTGCGAATTTGAATGGCTAAAAAATTGTCATCAATGGTTAAAAAGGTCTATTGTCAGATGTAAGTAATGACACTATCATTCCGGTTTCAATAACTCGTTAAATTACGGTTTCATACAATGGTATAGTGAAAGGGAACGAAATATCCTGAATGTATTAATGAAAAAAAAGAAGAAAATTATCATCTCATATTGCAAAGTGAGATAGACAATTAACATTTGTTTATGATTGCTACCTTTCCTTTTTTGCAGGCGCAGAAATTCATTCATTCAATGACGCCGCAACTTTATGTTCACTATTGTTGTAATAAAATAATAACTGAGGGAAGATTTTCATGGTAAATATGAAAATTCTTCCATACCAGAAATCATTTACAACATCTTACCGTCCATTAACACATAATCTTAATTCATCTGGATCAATTTAAAATTTACCAAGTTGTGTTTACACTAAACTTATTGATGAATAGTTTGAGCTTGTGTTCTTTTTTTTTAAAAAAAAAACATTGATAACGCTCCGTTGATTATCAACCATTAATGATATCATTATTTCGAGGTTTAATGATAATAATTTATGGCCACTTCAATTCCTATAGAATCAAATATTTGCATCACTTTTTAAGTCAAATATTTCTTATATATCCTTTAAATGATCAAGTAATAATTGAATGAATTAATTTTAGGCTTATGCTTGATCCATTAAAATTGTTTCATATAATTTTATATTTAATAATATTTGCTGCAATAATTCGAAATCATTCACATTTTTGAAATATATTATTTTACTTAATTTATAAAGCTTTTTTTGCATCAAATATTATTGTTAGTTTCAGGATTTATGTATATATCGATTAAATTTTAGAATATGTTTAAAAACGTTAAAATAATTTCATCAGAATATTTAATTATCAGATTTCAGTTCTCTCTAGAGATTATCATTTATTATTGTTTTATCGAATTTTTAACAACTACTTCAAATGAAAATTAATCATTAAAAATAAGGAAATCTAATATCAAACAAATTACTTTACATACCACTTCAACATACACACACAGACATAAGTAAACATTGTAGGTATGTTTGTGACTATTTTCGTTGGAGGACATATGAAGAAGATCGAAAAATGTAGATGATAAATTTATATTCTCTAACATTGTTATTATTCATAGCTTTGCGGAAGTCTGTAATTATACGGTAGTTATTGATCCTTTTAATGGGGTATTCGGGGAATATAAATTTATCATTTTCATCACATTTTTTTTTCTCTTAATTTATCAAAATAAAATATATTATGGTATGTATATTAACAAGTAGATTATATATTAATATCTATAAATTATAAATAATTAAAAATTAAAGAAGAAAAAGAAAAAGAGAAAATATAATAAATGTTTAAAAATTAAAAATTAATTGAAATTGATAATTATAAGTTAAAGAAACAAACAATATGATATTTTTATGATAAAAGAATTTCTTTTTCGATTTATCAAAAAGAAATAAGAAAAGGAAAAAAAACTTATATTTTGAATTTTATATTATTTTTCCATCACATTTAAACAATGTGAAATGATTTGAAAGAGAAGAATGAAATGTGAATTTCATTTAAATGATTGTGACGCCGAACGGTCTAATAGAAGGAGAAGAAAGGGAAAATACCTGTTGAAGGACAATTCAGTTTTTGTTTTCAATCTAACAGAGATATTTTCCACTTTCTCAGATTTCTCTTTTTTCGTTTTTCGTTTTTTTCGACAATAATTGTTGAATGAATGAATTGAGATGAAAATAATTTGATGTATCATTTCATTTCATTTCCAATCATTGAAATTTGAGAATGAAAGGGAAAAATATAATGGAAAGATGGAGAGAGAAAAAGAAAATAAATGAATAAATTTATAATTTTAAATATTTATTTTTTGTGATATGACAATATCTGATATGATAGTGGAAAATAGTTGAAGAATTATCAAAATAATTTTTGTTGTAGTATGAATGAATGATTGTTAAGACTGATAATGAATAATAATTATTATACATATATGATAGCTTATGTTCAAATAAAAATGTGTTTTCGTTTTTTTCAATTTGATCTTTTTTTAATTCAAATATTTGATAGATAACAATTGAGCAACATTGAATAATTAAAGCTAACATTTTGTTTACAACTCTTTATGTCCAATCATTAATTTCTTAATTAGCTTTAAATAATTGAATAGCATTGAGTTTCTATAATTTGAACTATTTGACAAATTAAAAACGGTTTAAATTCTCAATTTAATTATTCACATTTCTCCTTGTTGAATATTTTTAATGAAACATTTTATGTTTTATTTTATTGTTAAATACGTAATTATCAACAGCCTTTGAAACTCTCTTTGCTATTCCAATCAACATTTATCTATATGTTGAAATATAAAATATTCATTGACAATAAATGAATTGAAATATAAATGAGAAGAAAAATCCTACCAAAAGCATCAAAAAAAATATTTGCAAAATTTAAATTTTCAAAGTTTACAAATTCATTATCGATGCAATTTAAACTTAAAATAGCTACCAAATCGGCTTTTTTTTATCTCAGAAATTTATTTAAAAATGGAACTGCAGGAAATCATTGCAATTGTTTAAAAAATTCTTTGTAAAGCAAAAAACTTGCCAAGTTTAGTTGCGATGATAAGCAGCGATGTTTGTTTGATGTGGAAACGAGCCGCTTCGGTTTGGATTCATGTCCTGGGGAACCAAAATACCTGGAAATTGTTTATTCATGCATTGAAGGTACCAAAATGAAATTGATAAATTTTAATTTAATTAAATTTTTAAGCAAATGTTTTGTGCTGATTAATATGTTCTTTGTTGTCTTCAAATTTGTTTCGCATGATCGCAAGCCATCCATTATTGTGTTTGGTTGTTGTCTCTTTTTCCGTTATTTTTAATTTACCGGAATGCTTGCTTAAATTCAGATTACTAATAAAAGTTGTTGAGCTAATTTCCTTTTCTTTGTTTATCAAACAATTATAAAAGGCTGATTTATAAAACTTATTTAGTTTAATTTATCTTAGAAAATATTGTTATCATAGCCTTTGGAGGTTCTTGAAAGATGCTTCGAAATTCGAGAAATTGAGTATATATTAAAAGTAATGAGATTCTCTGGAAGTATTGATGCGAAAAATTTCCTGCAAAATCTTCCCGCGAGCAGCGGTAGAGAAATGAGGGATGGAAATAAATGACAAAAAATTCATCTTCCAATTTTCACTCTTAAAAACCTTGCATCGTTGAAAGTAACTTTTGCTCAGCTTTTATTCAATGAAAAGGTGCTAATGCTACTTTTCCATTATCAGTAGCGATTATCAGATACTTTAATGCTGAACTATCAGTGAAAACACATATTTCAGAAACATTTTTAAATATAAAAAATAAACATTATTTACGTATTTTGAATAGAAATCTTTCAAATTTAAAAATTAAAAAAATTGGATATATTCCAAATACATACTACTCATAAGCAAGCGACTTTGTTGCCACATTCAGTCTAAAACTTCCATCCTTTGGTAATATTTTTTGTATTGAATTCGTCTGAAAAACTAATTGATAACAATATAGGTTGAATGAAGCAGGCCTTAATTAGACTGACACTTATGGCTGTTTGTTATTATTATTTACTTATAATTTTTTTTGTTGTTGTTGTTTATTATTTTTGTGTTTGCTTTTTTTCTCTTGCTTGTTTACACATTCGTTTTCATTTTGCTTGCTTCTTTTCTTTGTGCAGATGTAATGGCCATACGCGATGTAGCATTTCGGTAAACAACAGAGAACTTGGTGATCCATGCCCGGATACAGAAAAATATCTGGATGTGGAATTCAAATGCAGCGAAAAGCCTGATACTGGTAACAGTATATTATAGTAAATTATATAATATTTAAAAGTATTTAAAAATTTAAAATTTTGATTAACATTTTTTCCGATTTTCTTATTTCGAATAAATAAATAACACATGCAAATTTAATTTATTGTAAATAATGACTGAAAAAAAAATTAAATTTCAACATCATGTATAATTAGGAAAAATGCTAAGAAGAAAATAATGGGACAATTGACAATAAGCATGCAAGAGCACATTCCGCGGACACACAATTTTGTTTTTGTGAATTTATCTACTTTTCAAAGTTAAATCTTAATCTGTCAAGAGATTCCTTCAGATTAAACAATTTCCAATCATATATAATCGTAATGAATAATATTTCCTGAAATATAAAATGAGAAATCAAAAATTTAAATTTAACTTTGAAAATAGATTAATTCGAAATATTATATTTGCTACACGCACTTTTGGTTTCAATGTTCGTCTATGTTTATTCTTTTGTTTTTATAAATAATTAACGTAATTCGCATGTAAATAATTTTTATTCACTATTCTTTAAATTTTATCCAAGCTTTTACTTAAGTGGTAAAAATCGTTTTTAAATTATCAATGAAAAAAAGAACGATGAAAATTTTGCAGTAAAGACAACAACAAGTACAACAATGGCAACAACAACTAATGCAATAGCAGCTACTAACCAGACGCTACTGATAACTGATTTAATGATACCAACGATAGGAACCGAATTGACGTAAGTAATGCTTAATTGAAGTCTAAATTTTAAGGGAAATTTGATAGGAAGCTCAAATAGTTTTATTTTAATCTTAAACAAACTTCAATTTCGTTGAATTAATTCAAATTTAAAGGACGATGAAATTATCAAGCAATGATGATAAACCGTTGTTCTGTGGTATGATAACAGAACGTGACATAGATTGGCCGCAAACAGAATTTGGCATGATAGCTCGTGTACCATGTCCAATTGGATCAACGGGTTACGCGGAATGGGTATGTAGATTGGATGGAAATTGGGAATCAGATGGACCGGATTTATCACGTTGTGTTAGCACATGGAGTAAAGGGTATGAAATATCTTTGGTTTAAATATCTGAAATATTTATCTAACTGATGGCTCTATTTATATTGAAGAATAATAGCATTTATTTATTTATTTCTCAAAATTGATTAATAAATTTAGTTTATTTAATTATTCAAGTAACCTCACTAAAAACAATGATGCGGATAAATTAATTTATAATTTTTAATTAAAAATTTAAGATTACTTATGGATGCAGAAGAAGCCGATAATCCGTTAGATCGATTGGAATTTTTAAACGAAATTCAACAACGAACACGACGTGAATCATTGATTGGTGGTGATCTAATTGCTCTTTCACGTGCCATAAAATTATTAATTCCAATTACAATAGATGACAATGATGCGGATAAATTTGTTGAAGTATGTATCACTTTTGAAATTCATGCAATTTTCTAATTTTCATTGAATAAATTTCTATTTAAAAATAGTTGAATATGGCATTATTAATTGGTTTCCGTAAATTTTTGTTGTAATTTTCGTCATTAATTTTATATCAAAAAGTTGTTAATCAAATGCTAATTTACAGTTAGTTGTGGAAAGTGTTAATAATATGGTAAAAGAATCTCAAACATTAGCATGGAAGGATTTGAAAGGTGTAAAACGACGTATGATAGCTGATCAATTGATGGGTGCTGTAGATCAAGTGTCGATGACGATCAGTGGATTAATCACTCCTGATACACCTCGAATTATCATGAAACCTAATACTGGTATGATATTGTTTTGCGCATATTTGATATTTAACAGTTTTAAGATTTTTTTTTCAATAAAATTTTAAGCAAGATAATTGATAATTCATAATTAATCGATGGTAAAATTGATAATAAAGTGAAAATGTATGCTGGATTTGGTTTGTATCAATTTCTTTGTTTTTAGTATGTTTAATAGTTTAGAGAGATTTAGTAAACGATTTGAAATGTTTAATGTATAGAAGTCTAAAGAATGAATTATCCTGAAAAATTTACCTGCCTTCTCTTATTCAATAAACTTAAAGACCCTTTCCCGATTTTTAGCGTGATATGATTAAAATAATTAAAAATTTTTTTTTTTTCATTATATTATCATAGTCACAGTTATATTGAAAATCATAATTACGACTCATATTGTGTTGTCATTACCGTTTTCACGATTATAAATGATGATTCTGATTTCAATTCCTTTATAATCACGTTGTTTTAAAAAAGAAATATGGGTGAAATCTCCAAGAATTGCAACTTTCAGATGTTGAACTTGAAATATCAGCTGTTCGGATACATGATTACGTTGCTTTTCCAAGTACCAGCTTGTATCGGACAACCGACGATACGGTTAATATTCCACATGAGGCACTGACTTTGCGCAATAATGCTATCGGTTTGTTAATAATTGCAACTTTCCACTTCTTATCTTAGCTACTAATTAGAATTGCGAGGATGACAATCGCAATAGCAACCATTTGTTCATACAATTTCGTATTAATTGAAAAAATTGGAATGAATTTAAATTCAATTACTTCCATAAATCTAAGATTTTTTGACCATTTTAAAGATATTTCAGGTCTGTCTAAGTAATTTCATAAAAGTAGAAAAATGAATTTCAGATGAAGCCAAAATTCTTTATGTGGCATATTCATCGATTGGCAAACATCTACAACCTGAACCACGCCAAGGTGCAGATGGTATCATGATACCGCGACAAATTGCATCAAAAATAGTTTCATTATCAGTAATAAATAGAGACAGCAAAATTGAAACCATTGATCATCTTCGTAAACCAGTCATTATTACATTTTCGATGGAGGTATATCAATCTTTATTAGATTGGAACTTCAGATCAGATATAGATTACAATTTAAGATCAGATATTAGATCACAATTTCGGATAAATAAATTATTGATTTCTAATAACGAATAAACGAGAAGAGTTAAAAATAAAACTTTCAATCATAATTAATAACTTTGTTTAAATGCCGAAAAGTAAAATTAGCGATAACTGATAGTAATTAATAAATTAAGAGAAGAGAGTTATTGAGTGATATTATCTTATCTCAGTAAGCTCTCAGCACTTTTCAGGTTTGATACCGCTGAAGTTAGATTAATGATTTCAAAAGACCCGCTGGCTCAGGCGGAAAAACAAATATTTAGTTGCAAAATAATGTGAAAAAGAAACATTTAGTTTTAACAGCAAAATAAAAAAAGAAAACTGATAATAAATCATCATTAAATAACTGTAAGAAATGACTTTTAGGATAAGGTGAATAAAATTAGTAATAAATCATAATTAAATATCTATAGGAAGCGATTTTATCATAGTGAGTAAAAAAATCGATAATTAATCATAATTAAAGTAATTAAAAAAAATGAATCCTATGATAAATAAAAAAATTGATAATTAATCATAAATAATTACACGAAATTGTTCTTATGAAAAATAGAGAAAACTAACATATAATTACAATTGAAATAACTATAGGGAAATAGCATGCATGCTTAAATTCTTATATATATATATCAGGATCGAGTAAATCTTTCCACGCCACAATGCGTTTGGTGGAATCACACACGTTTACAATGGTCATCATATGGTTGTATAGTTAGCTTACATAATACAACTCATACCGTTTGTCATTGCAACCATTTGACATATTTTGCTGTTCTCATGGATGTTCATTATCAAAAGGTAAGTAAAACTCTACAAGATGTCTTACAACGATTTTGAAAGATTACGTAAATGTTACGTGTAATCAGCAGGAAACATATTCAGCGGTAATGATCGATTGATTGATTTATCGACTCGATACGTCTAATTTTTTATTTATACATGGAGTAGTTAGTTGTTTTAGAAGCTTTACTCAAAGTATATTTCGGTTATTGATTTCATGCTGTTGGCTGAAAAGTAAATGAGTCTGAGAAATATCCCTTATCTAAGAGAAAGAGAATGGACTTATAAATTGTTTGAATGAAAGTTGAAATCTTTTTTTCTCTCCATTTACTATTGTTGGCTGAGCAGTTGATTGAATATTTCAAATTCTTCAAATTTATTCAATCTCAATTTGAGTATGAAAATTTTCAAAATTTATTTTAGCTTACCATTGGACATAACATAGCGCTAACATTCATAACTTATGCTGGTTGTACAATTTCAATACTATGCCTTTTGCTATCTCTGTTTGCATTTCAATGTTTTGGTACCAGTGGTTGTGATCGAATTTTTATTCATAAAAATCTCTGTTTCTCATTGCTAATAGCTGAAGCGGTCTTTCTTGGCGGTATTTGGCAAACAAAGAATTCAGTAAGAATTTTTATCTTTTTCACCTTCTATTGTATAATTCATTTTTTAATTAGATTACGTCACATTATATCATCCAAATTATCATGCATTATCCGTCATTATATCATTCAAATTATCCTAATACTATTTTCAAAATTATTTTAGCATTTTGTAATAATATAGAAGAGCCAATTTAATGTATCCAACATACAAATTAAATAAACACCTTCGAAATGATTTCATAATCTTGCAGAAATATCAATTTGACATATCCATCAATAAATTAAATAAATGTTTATTTATTTATAATAAATGATGATAAATGAATGATGAAAGTTTTGCAGCGTTTTTATCAATTAGCAATCATAGTTTTAACATCCTGGCATGGCTGTATTTAACATTTTTCATACTCATACCTTGTTATTGTGAAAAAGATTCGTGATATGAACAGTCCGAATCAAAATTTTCCTGCCGCAATTTAAAATTTCTAAAATTTTAGCTTTGCTGCAGTATCATAGCTGGTATATTACATTATTTCTTCCTTGCTGCATTTTCTTGGATGTTATTGGAAGGTTTCGAACTTTATTATATGCTAATTGAGGTATTCCAATCGAAAGATTCCAAAAGATCATACATACTATTGTTTGGTTACGGTAAGTTTTTGCATTCATTTAATTGAATTCTTAAATTTTCATTTTGAAAAAAAATTATTTTTTGAATTATGATTTTCAACATTTGACTAATTCCAGGATTCCCGTTATCAGTTGTTGCTGTATCGATGTGGTTTGATCGGTTTAGTTATGGTACCGAACGATACTGTTGGCTACGATCCGATAATTACTTTATTTTGGCATTCATTGGACCGGTTGCTATCATTTTACTCTGTAATACAGTCTTCCTCGTGATGACACTGTTTATCGTTTGCAGTCATTCCAGTATCGGTTATACACCATGTAAACAAGATCGTGATGCATTGAAAAATGTTCGGTATGAATTTTTTTCAGGAATAAATATATCATTATGTTTTATAGGTGTCATAAATTTGCTCTTTATACTACAATAGTATTTTTAGCTAGATTAAGGGATGATTTATATTGCAGAAAATTATTTATCAGTTTTACGTGATTGGAATCTAATCGCATTTTCTTGTTTCTATTGGAAGTTTTACTTATAAAAATTACTATGCTATCAAAGATCTTAAAATTCTTATCTTGTTAATTTTTTTCGAAATTTGTCTATTTTTTATTTCGAATTCTTTATTTCGAAATTCGAAGTATATTTCGAAAATTCGTCTAATTCTACAAGATTTCAGAAATTGGTTAAAAGGATCAATAGCACTAGTTACCATATTGGGTCTCACCTGGACTTTTGGCCTTTTGTGGATCGATGAGCAATCAATTATTATGGCATATGCATTCACTGTTATGAATTCTCTTCAAGGATTATTCATATTTCTATTTCATGTTGCTTTCAATGATCGAGTTTGTCATTCCTCCATTTTTTTGTTCCGTTTTGCTACAGTAGTCAGATTTGGTACTGCTGCAGTATCATTATAGTAATCCATTGATTCGCAAATTTTAACTTTTTCCAGCTTCCAAGCCAAGAATTTCCTTGGTCAAACTTTTAACATATGCAATTCCGATCGGTTGTCTCAATATTGATTGAACTTCATATGTAATTTGTCTTTTTTATAAACAATAACATTAATAACTTTTTTCAGTTACATAAAGATTACTGGAAATGGATGAAACATATATCCTGGACAACGGATTGCATGCGTAATGATTCCAGTCATACGACACGTACGATGCCATATTTACCAACAAATAACACAAGTAAAACCGGCCAAGCAGTCAGTTCGAGTTCATCAACAGCTTCTGAATTACTGGTAAGTGTAAAATCGCGTATTTAATTTTATCCATAGTATAGTTGTGCTAACTCATATACCCTGTTGACGTTGATTATTTTGCCATTTTGACGCTTCTCACGTCTGTAGTAGCATTTTTACGAAGAAAAATACGTGAAGATATGAATGCATTCGCAAGAGGCAACAATTATCTTTATCAGTCTTGTGCCAACTTTTTTTCTTTTTTACAGTGCTTAAATGTGAACATTTAAATGTTAGTTAATTAATTGGTTTATCCTAAACCATACGTAAAAATTCTCACAGTTCACATGAAAAGTGATAACATATGTATTAATGCATAATAATTAATTAATTAATTAAAGTTCTCATTACCCGCCAATTATATTAAAACTTTTTAAAATCATTTCTTTATAATCCAAAAAAGGAAAAATGCTTCTAATATTCGCAATATAATGTTATCATTTATTAAATATCGCTAATTTTTACATTAAATAATGTTTGAAATACACAAAAAGTTAGCAATTCCCATAGAAAATATAAATTTGATGTAAAAATTTACATTTTTAAAATTTTATTTTACATTTTTTATTTTTTTCAAACTATACTTTTGTTGTAATTAGCGTAATTAGCAATAATGTATTGATTAAGCTATATATGTTGTCTATCTATCTTGTCTTTTCGTATCACATTGCACGGCCATTTTATCAGTTTGTTAATCGCTACAATAACACACCGTTATCGTTTTATCATTTAATTTAAAGAGATTAACCAAATATTTCGTTGGCAAATGCGATAAGTATTCACCACTGTTGGCTAGTCAACGGGCTGGTTTAATTCATGAACAAATTCATATAAGGTGAGATTCGTTGATGTTTTGTCAGTAGCTTTATCATCTATCACTCTTCATCATTTTCTATCTCCTTCCATTTTGGTTTCGTTGCCACTTCGAATGATTTCAATTTAGATAATTTAAAAAAACTTCAACATGAAATCAAAAGATAGGAATGCAAATTTGAAATTCTTCTCTTTCTTCCCATTTGCAGTAAAATATTTCTTCTACAAATGTTTACAGAGAAAATTCAATTAATTTGTTTTATCTATCGTATCATTTGAAATATGTTCGTCATATCAATTATGAATAATTTATTTTAGTTGCACACTCACACACGCACACACAAACAAATCAATTTTATGAATTATGTAGTTATTACTGCAATCATAACGAGGCAGATACGATGGATCAATCGGTTAAACTAACACTCAATTACAGTTAAACTGAAAGTGTTGTAAGTGAACGAAGACTGTTACAATTAAACAAAGTTAACAGCAATACGTCCTGAGTTATCGAAAATTGTACTTTGTTTGTGATTCAAAAATAAAATTTTGAAACTTTAGAAATATACAAAGGAGTATCCAACGGCACGTGAATTAATCTTCTTCAATTGCGCTACCGATATTATGTTGTAAATATGTAAATTTTTTTCGTCATGCTTTTTTTGGATCAAATTGCTTTTCATATAGGCTTTTCTCTATTAACGGCTTTTTTCTTTTTCCATATAACCTATTTATCGGAAATAAGTTGTATATTATATTTGCTTACTCGATAATACATTAGGAATATGATCTATACAATCAGGCCAGAAATTATCGAATAGCCACTACACCTTTCATCTGCGATTTAATATAATTAGCTGCTTAAGGGCAATCGTCACCCGATAATGATTTATAGAATGGCTGAATTAAAATCACTAAAAAAATGTTACGTTACGCTTCTATTATTCCTTTTTGTTTAGATGAATGATGTATCAGTTGTTAATTATAAATAATCAGTTTATCCGGAAAATCGCTTCATCGATTCTTTTCTCCTTGCATGACTTGGAAATTTTCTTCACTTTAATTTATTATTTTTTCCTTTGCTAAAATATTCCTTTTTGCAATAAATTTTGCCTAAAACATAATTAGGAATATTATAATTTATTTAATTTTTCATTTATCAAAATGGTTGTATAAAATAAGAAAACATAATTATCTCATAAGTTTGCATGTTTACGCTACTTTCTTCTCATTATGGTACTTCCTTTTTTCTTTTTTAATTTGAATATTTTAACCTATTTGCTTACATTTTTACAGTATCCTTCAATGAGAGAAAAATATCCATCATTACAATCATCACGTATGGTTGCTGCAATTGATCCATATTACAATAATTCGGTACAAATGCTTCTGGCACCACAATGTTGTAATTCAAATGGTAAATTTTTGTCTGTTATAGTTTGTTGATACTATGTGATTATTAAGTTTTAATTTTCTTTTGAGCGTTTAAAATATTTACAAATTTTCATTTCTTTCACAACTAATGCTCACAACGCTTATTGATCATACAAAAATGCTAAATAATCAGTCAAATCAATATTGCTATATCACAGTATAGATAAGCAATTGCGTTAATCATTTTAATTAAAGTGATAATATTTCATGCGATTCAATAGTCTGAAGGAAATAACCCTTCGATATGTTAAATGAAATTAATGACAGATTTTATCGTTTTAATGGGAAAAAAAATTAGCATGAATTCGTAATATGTGATTATTATATATTTAGTTATTCTGCACATATCTTTTGATGTTATTCTGATCTTCAGTGTACATACAATAATCCAAGTAATGGTTGAAATTTTGAATTGAATAAGAAGAATGATAGATATTGTATAAATATGGATTATTGATCGATTTTTTTTAATATTTAATATCATATACTCTACATATTAATATTACATTATTCTATATGTAATTATTGATAATTTTCTTTTTTAGGATTATATGATTATGCAACGATTAGCTATGATGATCTTTGTAACTCATCATCCAATTATTATCATCAACCACAGCAAAATCAATACTATTTCAATTGCATGACACCTGTAACATTTGTACCAAATCCTAACTTATCCTCTACTACTATTCGACCTGAATTGGGAAAACTTCACTTTAGGCCACCACCTAATTTTCCGCCGCCACCACCACCACCATCACCTCCACCAAAACCTGCGTCAACTTCACTTCTCGCTACTCGTCATTCGACCACACCAATCTCAGCTGCTTCTATCGTTCGGGTATCAGATGATTCAGCATATAGCGATAGTTCCGCATCAACCTTACAATGTCGTGGTGAAGTGACAGCAAATCGATCGGGAATGTTGTTACGCATGGATTTATCCAAAAATCCACCCGTTTTCGTGCAAGGCCTATAATTTATAGAGTTGCTTCGTAATTGTTGAATAATAACAGTAATAGCAAAAATTGAATTGAATAATTAATTAAGAAGAAATATATTGTATTTTTTTTGTTTTAATTCATCACTACGACAGCATTTAATATAGGATTCAAAACAAAAATTTCAAATTAGTTATCAATTTCGGTATGCACTGATATATATGTAAGTAAATAACGATCTGATAAGCAACTCTACTTTATCTTATAAATGACTTTTTATTTTCTTTTTTTTCGGTACACAATATCGGGTTCGAGTATTCTTTTCATTGTTAAAAATTTAATCGAATATGTTGAAAATTTTTTAACGATACGATCATTTCCAAAGGAACATATTGCTTTAACAAAACAAAAATAATTCAAATCATTTTATCTTTAAAATGTAATAATTGCATTTATCTTTTGGCTATTATATAATCTTTTTTGCATTATATGTCCTTTGGTGGCTGTCATTAAAAAATCATTTGAACTATTAGTAATATGAAATATTCACAGTTGAATTAGATTAGTTAAAATGGAAAAAAAGAAATTTTTATTTCATTAATTATAAATGTTCATTCGTTGAAATGTTATTGATTGATATGATCAATCCGGTTCTATAAAGCAGGAGGCTATGTTGGTGCTAAAATAAAATATAATATTTAAAAAAAAGCGCATATACAATATGATAACAAATATTGATGCCATTTTACAATTTCAAAATAATAACGCATCCATCCATTTTCAAATCATATCCTTACTAGAATAGATAAGTTGGAATATTCCAATTTCTTTTTCAGAATAGATTGCAACATTCCTATTTTATGGAAAATGAATGAAATCTTTGCAAGATGGAATCAGAAATATTCTTTCATTTGTATTACTATTGCCATATTCTCCTGTCTCTTTTTTATATCGTAACTAATTGAATTTTGTTAATTTCGAATTCGATAGCAAAATTTGTTTTCATATCATAGATTGATTAAATTAATTGGTTCACAGTATAGTAATGTTAATTGAAATTAAATGAGTCAGTTTAATTTTTCGCTGTTAAAGAAAGTGGTGATAATGACTCACTTTGTCAAAATTACATGAGTTGATTTTTTTCGTAAATTATCATATTGTATCACATGTATATACACGTCAATCAGTTATGTCAATCAGTTTCTGCCTTATGTGATTGTTACTAACTATGCTATACAATATATAAAAATTTTAGAGCTTAATTGGCGAATTATTCGATTTTTTAGGATACGAAAATAAAGTTCTACTGCGAAACTTTATTATGCTTCCCCAATTTTTTATAATGAATATATTGTTAAGTAATTGAAGTATAATAAGATCTTAAATATTTAAATTCATTCTTTGTTTAATTTATTTTAAATTTTTGAGATTTTCTTGTGACAATTCTGTTAATTTCATTACTGAAACAATAGTGTAATATCAATCATTAATAACGTAACACGGTGTTGTTTTCGGCAAAGTTCCTATTGTAAATCAGAAATTTCTGCATTCCTATGATCATATGAAATTGAAAACGAATGAGAAGATGAAAAGGATTGCGAGCTTACAGTTCTCTAAATTCGATAGAATATCTTTCTCTCAATAACATTCAAACGAGCTCTCTTCATTTGCCTTGCTGAAATTAGCTTCGTTATTCCGTATTTTGAGAAAAGAAAAGAAAAGTGCGAACGACGATTGATTGAACTTTAATCTTCTCGTGCGAAAAATAAAGAGCCCAAAATAATTCCTTGTCTTTTTTCGTTTTGCCATTATTTTTAATTTGTAAAGGTAGGATTTCCAGTTTTTTATTATTTTTTACTTCCATCATATTTTATAATTTATTTCAAATTTATTCTAAGCTAATTTCAGAAATTAACTTTTTAAAACAGCCCAAAATATTACTCTAATTTTTCTATTTTTGTTCTTTCGTTTTACACAGCAATATTTGAATGAAATCGATAAAAGTTAATAATAAGTTTATTAATGATAACTAGACGCAAAGATGCGATACATGTTTATCCACTATACGTATGTGTACGCTCACATACATTAATACTGATACGTTTTTTGTCATATACGTAATACGTTATGTGCGAATGAAAAAAACTACCCGACTAAATAATATAAGATGATCAAAGTTTAGCAATGATTTTAAAAAATCTTCCGGTTCATTGGTAAGTGTAATGTCGGAAATTTAATCGGATTCTTTAAAATGTTATGACTGTTAAATGATTTAAACTGTTTCGATATATTTCTCTTCCACATAATGAGCAAATGGACGAGAGCAATTCTTGTCAAAAATTTCACGATCTCTCACAAAAGAATGATGTTTGGCGTGGAAGAGATAAGAAATGTGTAGTGTAAATTTGTTTGAAATGAACATGCATGCAGTTTTATTGCATAATAATATTAATTGCATGCTTGTTCAATCAATGTAACTAAATTTTGTAGGAAATCGTGCAAAAAAGTGATTGCAAATAACTTACGAAGAAATTGAATTGATAAAGAATTAATTTTATGTTGATTTTTTTGTTTTGGTTTATTTCGATCGTATCAGAAGGGAAATTTATTAAAATATCATCTTGAATCTGAATAGTATTGAAATAAGACGAAGTATATTTGCTCTAAACAAATAAACCGGAAAATGAAAAAAGAGTTGATTTTAAAAAAGATAGTAAAAATAATGAAAACAGAAACAACGTTTAATTTAAATAGCATTCACTTTGTGCCATCAGATATTTTTAAGGACGGGCAGTATTTTCCGGAAAATCACTCTCAATATATCGAACAGCTAAAATTTAACGAGTTTAAATTAAAATAACTTCAGAATTTGGTTGAATAGAAACTTTAGTAGCATTTAGATGAAAAAACAGCGCCTGTAAAACTTTGAAGAGTAAAACAAAATTTTCCATTGAAATTATAAACAATTATATCTCCAAAGCAATTTTATTTATAACTTAGAAAAGGGCAAATTCTTTTCTGACTGATTGAACTGTTCCAGAAAGTTCCATTCCAGAATTTCCAGAAACTTCCAGGACGCTGGAATGGAACTACATTATAAATCCACTTTTTACTTTCATTGAACTTAAATTACTATTTGAGGGAAATAACGACTTTTTTTGCTATAAAAAAATTCCAGGTTAATTTAAATTTCATTTTTCACCTGTATTGATAGAATCGCAGATTATTTCTTTGTAAAATGAATTGTTGAAATATTTGTTAAAATTTACAAGTGAATAAATATAAAAGTGCTGAAAATTTAAAAATAATTGTTTTTGTAAAATAATTTTTTGCCACTTTTTTCTTAGAATCTCTTTGAAGAAGTTTTTACATTATCTTTCTTTTTACTGCTCGAAATCATATTCTATTCCAATTTACATGCAACAATAACTGTTACTAATATTATTGCTATGATAATAACAACAATTACTACTATAATTACTGTTACAGTTATTGACAGCGGTAATAATTATTACGAATATGGGAAAAATTTTAAAGAAGTAGGCACAAGAATGGTTCATTTAAAAAAAATTAGGTCAGAACTGAATTTTAAAAAAGAAAAATAGGCACAATTATAACTCCACCTTCTACAACAGCGTATTGCATCAATGTTAATGATGCATTAAATAGTTGTCGCCATTGCTGTTGATGTCGGTGTTATTATCATCTAAGTTATCTGATATCATTTTTTTAACATAGCTAATTTTATTTATAGGTGCATATCTGCACGAATAAATGATAATATTAATAATAGCGATAATAGTTTGCATTATTATAGATGTCTTTCTTAATGCCTCTCATTTTTCGCATTGATCTATAAACTTTTATATTTCCTTGTTTTCCATTGTCAAAAATGATCTTATATCATTGATTATTATCACTACTATTATTTTATTATAGCTGAGCATTTCATCAGGCATATAGATTAACAATCTGCCTTGATCATTTTAAAACGATAATTTCATAATCATTCACACCTGTAATATCCAATTCCAAAATTTCAGATTTGATGGTACAACTAATCGTTTTCAAAAACATTTAAGCATATTATCAATAACAAAGTTTCTTTTATCATTATTCTTATCACTGTTAACAACGGATGAAAACAATGAAATATGCAATTTGTTTTATTTTTATCATTTGTTCTGTAACATATACTTGTACTTTTCTAGTAAGTTTTTCATTTAAAATAAATTTTTCTTTTATAAATTAAAATTAAACAAATATTCGAATATATCTGTAATGCAATAAATAAATTATTAGTTATGCTAAAATGTAAGTATAATTTTACAGAATGATCCGATATCATATTGTGAATTTTTGGGTGAATGTGAAATGATTTCACAATTGCAAGAAAAGCTCTGCTTAGGAAATAGTGTATTGACACCGTATTGGCTACCATCACGTGATCCGATCGGTCAACGATGTCACATTCTTCTCAGAAATCGTTATCGAAAGGTTACAATAATTTTTCCGTCAATTTATATTATTCCAATAATAGTAATAATTGATACATTATAGTTAGACCGATTAGTGAATGATTCAAATAGTTTGCTATTATTATGTATGGCTGAACGTTCACCATCACTTAACGAAAAACAGGTTTAACTTTTTATTCCTTTATTATATCTCTTTAACAGTGCGAAATAATTAAATTAAAATAAAATTCCTATTAAAATTGAAATTTGTAAGAAAAAAGAGCATATGTTTTTTCAGTTTTAAAGTAGGAAATTTCAATTAGAGAATGGAGTGAAAATGTTTTAGAAGAAAGCAAGAAAGAGAGAGAGAGAGAGGATGTAGAAAAAGAGAATTTGGTAGTGATGGGTTATTTTGTTGAGGAAGAAGATAATTTAAAAACGATGAAAAGAGGTCAAAATTGATATTAATGATCAGAAATTTCAGGACGACTTTTTGAATTTCCTATAAACTTCAATTAGAACCCACAAATTATTTTTTAAAAAATATAATTCAAAAAACTGAAAAATCTTTAAATTCCTATATAATTTTTCCGCTTCTTTTTTTAACTTCCAATTTCAGTAATTTTTCTTTTTTCGAAAATGTCCGAAAATTATAATTTTTACCAAAATTATATCATAACAGAAACAGTACTGCGATCATTTGTTATTTCAACGCATCAATGAGTTGAGGGAGAAGAATGGTAGCCCAAATTTGGATCAATGCTTCCAAGGCAAAAAACGATTCGAACGACAATGTGGTCCATTACGACAATGTTGCCATGCTTATGATCAGTTAATTTTCATTGAGATATTGATTAATATAGGTTTTAAAAAAGTATGTACATTTTAAAAAAGCAAAGAACAAGTTGTCCATAATGATAGAATGTGGCGCAGTAGTCATAAGAGGAATATTTTCTATTAAAGAAAATACACCGGTCATTTGTATCCATACTTTACACTTCAAAAATCTCTTAATAAACATAACAAAAATGAGTGCATTTCATTGCTGAACTATTCATTAATAATTTCTGATAGTATGTAAAATTAGGAGAAATTAGGAGATATTTAGATTATCAAAAAAAATTGTTGCAGTATAATTGATAACAATATTATTTCTAATATTGTAAAGGTTAAAATTTTTGAAATTGATAATCTAAATATCTCCTAATTTTACTGCAACAATGAATCATTTCTTTGTTCTTTGTACATTTAATCAATTTTTGATGAATGAAATTTTATATTTACATGACCTATTTTTCATCATCCATTTGAAGAATTACCATTTAAATTCAAGGTCATCATTCTTTTTTACTTTTTTCCTTTTGTATACTTTGATCAAGGAATTGAATTCATTCTTCAATATCTTATTTTGGGGTAGAAAATATTAGTTTTTATTAGAAAAATTATTTCTAACGGTGAGTTTCACTCACCTCGATGACATTTTTATTTTTTAAAAAGAAATAAATCGTACGATGAGAAAGATTTTAAAAAGTCTTAGGAAAAAATAAGATAATAAAATTATTTGTTCTTAATTTCATAGTCAAATTAAATTTCATCTGAACTAATGATAACACATCTTTAGCAAATAAAATCGCTTTAAAATCGAAAATTGCAAAAATGAAATTTGAAAAGATTAAAATTTGTGTTTTGCCGCGGAGTTTGATTAAATAATTATGGTGACCCTAATTTGATTATTTTAATAACAATTGATTAATTTTATCTGTCATCTAGCAATCCTCTTTCGCAATAAAATTTGTTAATTAATTAATTAAAACATGAGCAGAGAGCCATGAAGAATTTCCAATTGTACAATGTTTCAAATCAAACATATAGCAATTTTTAGATGTAAAGAGCTCGTGAGACGATCTTTCATAACGGAACAGATACAGCTATTAAGTCGTGAAATTCAAAATTATGCAAAAAAATGCAAAGTAAGTATTAATTAAAGATGGAAGTTCAATCGATTTACTACGAATAACTTTTCCAGCTTTCTTTGAATTTCTTTTTCTCAGTTTATTTATTTCTTCAGGAAGGTATTGCATCAATTAATGGAACAGTTAATTTCAACTATTCTTCAGCCTTAACTACTTTTACAAGTCAAAAGGGTAGCGATGATATTATGGAAAATTTTTTGCGAAATTCACCTCATCAGTGGTATTATTTTATCTAAGCATATTATCTATTTTATATCTTTAAAATATTCATTAATAATGAGTTTCAATTACAGGTGTGCAAATGTATGAATCTAAGAATTGAATTTTTGATTGTTTTCATGGGCTGAATATACTATATACAGCTGAGACAATTTTCTCATTCACTCGTTTTTATATTAGCCAAAGTTTTACTTATCAAAATAATATTTCCATCCTTCTCTGTTTTTTCCTATATGGAGCAACTTTTAAGGATTGATTTATTTTTGAAAAAATCCACTAAGGGTTTTAAAATTTTTCATTTTCAGAGAAGAAAATTAGTTGATCGGTACAAAATTGAATTTTAAAAGTTGATTAATCTTCTGACTTCTGATTTCTTTATATATTTCTTAATTATATACTTCTGACTTTATATTTCTTTCCTAATTAATTTTTAGGTATTTGGCATTGAAAGCTAAACTTATGAAGGAAATGCAGAATTCGAAGTTTCAAAGCTATAAAACTGTATCATATGATGGCCTTATAACTGATAAAAATGATAGCAATTATCGAGTATCACAAAATATAGCAAGTAAATGATACATTAATTATGTTTTGGGAGGAAAAAATAATGATATTAATTAAACTTGTCGTTGCTACATCAATTTTCAAAAGTTTATTTCGTTACCTTTATTTTTCTCTTAGATTATTCGATACTAATATTATTCCGGAATAAATTTTGATCTAATTATTTTATCATTGCTTAACAGTTTCAGATGATGAAAAGGGAGAGCAGAAGAACGAAGAAAATAGATTTCCAGATGAAATCGCAGTGTGGGATAACACGGAGTACAAGAAAGATATCGAGGAATATCAAGTGCAGAAGGGGACACACCGAAAGCATCTAAAACATACCGAGGTAAGGATTTGCTTGCATATTGCTGAATTAACGGCGACAATCAATTTTAATCAATGTATAGAAGGAAGGAATGAAAATGATGGAGAAAAGCTTCCTGAAAATTACTTTGCTTTCAGAAAAAATACAACGGAAGTTTCTGTGACAGTTATATACGATGTCGAAGACAAGTATTCGTTGCTTTTAATTTTATGATAATTTTCCCAAGCTAAAAGGGCCGATAGATCACTGGAAATCGATAATTGCTATTTTGCAACATTTTATATAATGAGGAATAATCGATAATTTCTATTTCTCATAATTGTTCATTATTGTTATGAAGTGATAGGAATTTTTTGGTATTAATGTGATCATTCCCGAAAAATTCCGATTATTATAAGGTTGAAAAAAATATGGATCGTTGTCAAATACTGTGGAATAATATGAATCAAGCACCACTATTATCAACAGTTACATTACTTCGAATAGGTGATCGTTGCATTGGTCAAGGTGATAATAGCTTTACTGAGCTTTATGAATTAGCAATTGAACGTAATGATGAGCTTCATAAATGTCTCGACAGATCTCATAATCAGGTATGCAATAAATGTTTTACTGTATTTTCTCGATTAGCTTATCACATTGATTATTCTTTTTATAGATTTATTTGAGAAATTTTTTAATTAAATAATTTTTTTTATTTCCATATTATTAATTGCAAAATAGTTATGTGAGGATGAATTTTAGACTGATAAATCGATAGATTGTTCAGTCATACCAATAAATCGTACTCATTGGCATTGGACATTAATAGATTCGGATGATCTACGAAAAACTACAAGCAGTGATGATTGTTTAGCTCAAGTAAATCTGGTGCAATTTAAATGTGCACAATTGCGCAAATGTTGTCCAAATTTCTACAGGTAAAATACTATTTGTAATATTTATATATGTATCATATATTAAATTGAATGCTATAATATAATATGGAATTGTCAATGGTCCAAAACATAAATTATTCCCAAAACACCAATTAGTCCAAAACATCAATTAGTTAAATAACTAATGTTTTGGACCATTGACAATCCATAACTAATTAGTTTTAATCATCCTTTATAAAATTAATTTAACATTTGATAAATTATTTAAATAATTTTATTTTCTACTTAGATTTTAATAATTATTTACAGATGTCAAAATGAAACTTTTGATGCAAAAGCAGAATTACGAATAGCTTTACTTACAGTACAATTGATCACACAACATTATGATTGTTTACGACATCAACTTGTGACAGAGACTCAATTATAATTAATTAAAATATTTGTCCTAATAAGATTTTAATTTATTCTATTTTGTTGGAAATTATTTTGAAAATGAAATCTTTTAAATTTAATATATATTTTTCATTAAAAGAGATTTTTTAGACATAAATTTTATGATTGTTTAAAATATTATGATTGTTTACACGATGATTATAAATGATCAAACACTAAATGGTTTAATTAAGAACTATTTAAATAGGAAAAAGGAGAGTTGGTAGGAAAAATCCGCCTGATTGATTGTAAAACTGGAAATTTGATGTTCGATTTTAATGCTTAATTGTGCATATCATTGATAATTATTGCTTTTGCATAAGTGTTTTACAATCTTTTACATAACATATGATAACAATCAATAACTACTTAAAATATAAGAGTAAGTTATAGTAGAAAAGTTGCTATTTGGCCTATTTGCAACATTTGGATTTGAAATTGTTTTGTTTTAAATTTTTACTTAATTATTTTTACAAATTTGTGAACTTAATATAAGCGTTTTAACGAATAGAATGACAAAAACGTTGCATCCAAAATGGTTGTAAATTTAATAAAATGCTGTTAATAATTTTACTGCATGAGCGCATATTAGCAATAATAACAATTGCGCTTCATATCATCATTTTGTGCCTATGATCGAAATTCTTCCTTTCCGAAATAAATGAAAATGAATTTAAGCATAATAGATTTTGCATCACTTTAAAATACTATTTAAAAAGTCTTTCTATGCCTTTCTCAAAATAAAATATTTGTTAGTTCCATTAATCTGCTAATGATTTTATTTTCGAGCGAGGAATTTGCAAGTTCAAAAAGAAATTATGAAGAAGCCAAATAGCAAGTTAAGCATTATCTTATAAGATGAAAATTTTTGTGCATCTCGCAATCTCGAGAATAATTATTATAACGTAAATAACGTAATTATTATAACGTGAATAAATTGTAATGATGAGATACGCACATAAAAATAAACTTACTTAAATAATCAAAAGTATTTCCACAAATTTTATGCGTACATTCTGCTGCTAATCAAACACTTTTAGTAATTTAAAATTATTTTATTGTTTAAAATTTCTTTGCAGCAAAAAATTACAGAATACAATTGCGAAATGTTTTTTATACATTTTTTAGAATCATATCGTTAGAGGAAATTTAGGATAATTTTTTTAGTTTATAAATTGGTGTAATGCTAACTGAAGTGATTTTTGTCGAAAATTTTGGGAAATAAAATTTTATGAAAGATTAAATAAGCAAAGAACGTAGTCGAAATTCCTTATTTTAAACTTAGTATAAATTGCTAGTCTAAATGAGTTGGCCTGTTAATTTTTCCATTAGAGGCCAAAACCGGGCCTTAGATTTTTCTGGCCAAAAAAAAGATGTATCTGAATAATGAGAATTGTTAATTAATGATTTTAATTAAAGATATATAATTTTATGATTACAAGAATTTAATTATCATAGTGAAGTGAAAAAATTTTCTACAGCAAGCTAAACTAGCCGAAAATTCTACTGCTAAAACACTACACAGCACTTTCTAATTGATACTTTTCCTCCAGTTGTTCGGTTATCCACCATAAATTACTTTTTACATCAGTTGGTGCATTATTATTTCTTATTATCTTCGATATCACCGCATAACCTGAAATTAATTATCCTATTAGAATTGATTTAATTATTTCATAGTGAAGAAATAAATGTGGAAAATATAGGTGAAAGTGCATAAGAAGGTAATTAAATGAATATGGGAAGGTTACAATTAAATTAGTGATGGAACTAATTTGAGTATTTTAGTTTTATTTGAAATATGTGTTTTAAACAACTATTTCAATCTTAAATCAAATGATATAAAAGTCTTAATTTCTTTACTTTTTTATAGCCTTAAAAGTAATTGGCTAATTTTCATTTTTGTTGTTTTTAGATCCATGAGAGATTTGAATTAGTAGAAATAATTATATGAATCAAAAACTGCTTTATTAACTAAACACCAAAAAGGTATACAACATTTATCTTGAAAAAATTATCACAAAACAGTTTAAACTTATATTATCCGATATCATAAGAATTTAAAATTCTAAATTTCATCATCGCTTTCACTCAATACTGAAATGTACATAAATTGTCGTTAATTACAAATAAAATTAATTAGAACTCCAAAAACGAATTTCAAAAATCGCAGTAATTAATTACAGTTAAAATTGAAAATTAAATCTCACCATTCATTTCATGTATAGCCTTAAGGCCAATTCCGTGATTAGCTATCGTTCGCAAGCATTGTGTGGTTCGTATCTGAATCCTTCTGCAATAGTTGACATTTGTTCCACCGTGTGTTCTCAACAACGAAAGCAAAAGGTCAACTGCGCCTTGTCCAATTAATGCTTCAATATAAGCACCATTTGCAAGACTGATAAAAATTGTCAACAACTGAAATTTAAATTTTTTTGCAAATGAGATAAAAGAAATCTGAAAAAAATTGATTACACAACTTATTTTATTCATTTATTATTTTTCAGAATTGATTTTACTAACCGCTGGAAATGAGGAACAGATTCGGATTACCTGTTCTTCAATAAATGCATTGCGACATTTTGGCCGTTTATATGCTTGAACAAAACGTTTGATAGCATTATGCTCGTAGAGGATATCAATCGTTCCGGTTTCTTGCACAGTTATATTTGCTAATGCTGCTAATGCCAACAATAATGAATCCGCCACTTTACTTTTATCAACAATTTCTAGAATTATCAAATGAAATAATTGGGAAATTATTGGAACAGAAATGGATATTGTTATTTATGGATCAGAAACTAATAACCTGATAGAATGCATATATCTATTATAAAAAGAAGTTTATAGCTTTTCAGGGTAACAGGATCCGATATACAATACTTATCGTAGTTCCTTGTAGTGAAACCTTAAGCAAATTCCAACATCCACATTACTATATTTGTGCCTATAATTATAAATGATAAAAGAAAGAGCTCAAAATTGTAGTTCAAAATTATTTAATTTGGGACTGAAAAATAAAAATGAAATGATGGAGTGGTAAATTAAGTTACCAAGAATTCGTATCACAACTCTTGGCAACATACTACCAAGTCGAACATAATTTTGATTAGGATTTGTTAGTTGCGTTAATATACCGGCTGCTTCTGCTGAGCAAGCTATCGTTGAGGTAAATAGCAATTGAATAATTAACTCAAATTTATTAAGCTGAAAAAATTTCTCCGTGAAATTCAGAATAATTCAAATTTATCTTTTTCATAGGTCTACAAAATACCTTAACTAATTTGTAGATTAAATCTGCTAAAATTTTATGAATTTTATGAATTAACCAAGCGCATTCAAACTTCTCTCATTTAGATGTAAATTTTAGATATAAATGCTTAATTATTTAGATATAATTGCTCAATTAACTTTTAGTTCTAAGAAAAGACTGGAAATTAATTGTATAATTAACATGGGTAAGTGTAGGATAAATATCTTTAGTAATGAGTTTATTTTTCAATGAGAATAAGCTAACAAAGTAAAAACCAAAACTACCGATTTCAGATTAGTGAATTTCAAATATAAAAAACAATTAGATACGGTATTTGTAGTTCTATGCAAAAGATTTCTATTTTGCAGAGTACAAGTATTAGGATCCCGCGGTCTAATTTCCCAGGAAGCCCAAATATTGCAATATCTCTCAAACATTACAGAGTGCTACCACTTACCGCTAAAAGTTTCAATGCACCTCGATAGTTACCGCATAAGATAGCTAGAGCTCGGAGTAGCAACCGAAGGGTACCATTTGAAACTGATGGTACTTCACAAAAATACAACAACGAATCCAAACCACCATACTAAATAAGCAAATAATCTTTTTTTCTTATTTATGATATTTCGCCTGACTGAAATGAAATTTTCAGACTGATTTTATCTCCAAGTTTTAATTAATTCTAATTAACGGATTTCTCAGCATGTAAAAATCATTAGCATCTTTTTGTCAATATTTATCTTGCATTCTGTAATAAACCAATAAATTTGATCATTTATTATTAACAGCTTAATAAAAGTTTTAATTAAAGAAAAAAACTTATTTTATTACCTGCATAATAACATGACAAATTTCATCGCCAAAAAGCATCAAGTGTATGAGTTGTTCAAGCGCAATGATCAATAATCGATCATGATTGGTACATTCCGCCAGATATTCTGATATTATCTTTGCAAAAATGATTAGCATTTCATGAATTATCTTCCGTAATAGAACAATCAGGAAATTAGACGCACTAACGGGCCTTTCTGTACAATTCTGCTCCGATTCCAAGTCGAAAATCATTCGTTTTACTGTTGCTATATCCTTCAAAAAAAGGTATAATTTTCAAAATTATTAAATAAAAGTATCAAAGAATAATCGACTTATTGATTGCAGGTAATATCTAAATAGGAGTTAAGAATATTATCTACGCCAGATAAAAAAACTTCGAAAATTTTCACTGAAGCTAATAAGTGTAAATCTTAAGCTTGAAAAACTTATACGCATGTATTCTTATTCAATGATTATTGTAAAGTGAAAAAAAGAATATACAATTAGCATACTTACATGTGCAGAAAGAAATGTAAAACACGGTGAGCATTGAACTGTTATAATAAATACTTTTGCCTCACATATTAGATCACTCGTCCATTTCTCATTAGTATCATCGTTTAGTGCTGTATGAAATGTGCTACATACACGTAACACGTGATCAATCGTATCTTGAAATTTTCCATTAACTTAACTTTCTCATAACTATGACTTTCGTATTAACAATATAAAGGCATATAAATTTAAGCAATCAATGCCTGAATTCGAAAATTTTCGTAAAAAGGTAGTAATTATGATTATTAAATAGATTAAAGTAATAAAATTAATGATATCAAACTTATGATAATTGATACTATTCAGTTGAACAAGATATTGTCAATGAAATTGGCTTAAAGGATGGCGAAAGTTCATATATTTGTTATCCCACGCAAAATATTTTCAACTTTTGATTGGAAAAAGTTTTTTTTCTTTCCGAATTTCTATAACTTACTGGCTATTCGAGCATAAGCTGGTAAAATTTTATTACAATCGAACAAATCCTTCGACAAACAATTTTGGAAGTTTAATTCGGTTGACCCTTGCTCTAAATCTGTGCTATTATTAGTACTTGAATCCATCGATTCAAACGGTACTGGTGTTGTTCCTCCGGTTGAGGTTGATTCAATTATATCATTATCAGGGTTATAACTAGAATATCTGAAAAAAGTTTAAAAAAGTGTGCAAGAAAATTATTTTTTAATTCTATCAAATTATTACTAATTCATAAAGTATCACCTCGAAATGTTTGAAGTCGATTTTTGTGAACTTGATGGTGCATCAACAAGTGCCTGTAATATTGTTTTGCCATTGACGCGAAAAATTTGTAACTGCAAAATTTCAAAAAAATTTAAAAATTGAAATTTAACATGAAATAACTCAATAATTCATTGCTATAATTCATAATTCATGAATTATTATGATGATAATTCATTATTATGATTTATTCATTATGTTTGTTATCATCAGAAATACACTGATCATATTTAAATTATCATTGTAATTATTATGATTTTTGCGGCAATTCTATTTATCATTTTTAAACAAGGATGATATTGTTTCACGTCATATCTACCTGCTCATGATTTGTTGTTTTCTGCGATACCTTAATCCAATGATTGTCAGAAAGCTGATTTCGATCACAATTATCCACAGGATCAGATTTCTTGTCTGGTTTCATTTTTCTCTACAAATTTTCCCCTTTTTTTCTTCAAAAAAAATAATTACTAAAAAGTTATCACAGAAATCCATTTAATAAATCGGCATTTTGGAAAGAAAAAAGCCAAAAAATTGAAAAGCTGATGTAAAATCCGATCAGTTTTAGATTGAATGGATAATAGTTTAATTTTTACTGCATAACATAAACCATAATATCAACCTGCGTTGCTTTCGGTAGCTTTCTAAATTTTACAGATGATATAATTGACGAATGCGAATCAGTTTTTTGAATGCTGGAAAAATTTCCTGATTCATTGTTGTTGTTCTTCCGGGAAGAATTTAATTGCTTCGTATGCACCGTTTCGCAGTTCTCCGAATTATTATTAGTATCCATGTTGTGCAATGACGATTGATTGGATGAACTCAATTGATTTTTTGAACAAGTTAGATTACGTTCACTTGCAACAGATACGGATTGATAATTCTGTTTTGCTATCCATTGATCAGTATCAACTTTCAATGATGACGATTCAGCAGGTAAATAAAGCGAAGTATTAAAATTCGAATCGTTGGCAATCATTGTTCTGTCAGTAACCTGAAATAGGTAAAAAGCAATATTTTGTAATTGAAATTTTACGAAGTCAAAAATTAAGCCAAAAAATATTGCATATTATGCAAGCATCTAAATAATACATTTTAGTAAGATTATTCGGAAGATAGTAAAAGAGTGAATTGGAACCGGAAACACTAAATGGAATCCGAAGATAGTAACAAGACTAATAAATCAAAACCTAAAATAGTAAATCAGGCCTGAAATCATTGCATTTTATATATTTCATTGACCTTACCATCGTCTCAAGATTTGTGTGAAAAAAGGGATCGTCGTGGTGCTATATCGAGCCTTTATGTAATGAACAATGATTACTGAACATTGGTAACACTCACAGACGTACGTCATCTTCCAAAAAAAGGTTACGCAATAAAACTTTTTATCTTACCATTGTCATTTCATCATTCGGTTTCCGATCAGTTTTAACTGTTTCGTTTTTATCCTGTTTTTGCTGCTGTTGAAGCAATGATCGGTACGATTTTTGTGATTTACGACGTAATCTATATCGATAACCGTATCCTTTGGTAGAAATTTTCGGTGCAAGTGATCGATTTATCAGAGAAAAGCTCGTTCTTGCACTATGTGACGGTAATGCGGAAAATTTCATAGCTAATCTTTCATTGGTAACCGAATTATATTCTGATTTCACTTTATCCGTTTTATTGCTATCAAAATCGTTGCAGGATTTCACACGTATAACTGCTGATATTGGTGCTGGATTATATCTAGAATTATTGTTTTGTTTATAGAAAATTAAAAGTTATATTTTTAAAATAAATATCAAAAAAGACATATTTCAAATATTTTAACAGAATAAGTCTGACTAATTTACTTTTTTTAAAAATTATATTTTGTAGCATAATTTCAATATTTTTATTTGATCATTCCTTATCATACAATGTAACTAACTTTGTTCCATCAAGTTGATAACATACGGTGGTACGATATTTCATATTATTCGCAAGCGGTACTGGTGTTGAAGCGGTCATAACATTTTCCGAAGATGAAGACATCATCCGAGCAATGCATCGTTTTGGCTTTGCTGGTGCTGGCGAACTGCAACTTACAAGATTTGATATAAAGCATTTTTGGAAATCGAAATTTTCTTATATTTTGACAACTACTAATTTTTAACCACTTGACCTTCAAAAAGTTATGTATTATCGATTTTCTCACTGAGTTTCTAATTTAAGTAGAGAGAAAATAATTTCAATCTCATTTAAGTGTCGACAGACATTGTTACTTTGACAATATCGCAACAGAAGAGACTGCAAATCCTTTTCACCTATGATTTAAATAATACATAGCTTACTAATTAGCATGGTACGGAAGTTATGCTTGTCGCAATCATCTAGCGTTTGTTTTCAAAAAATAATGAAATTAAAAAATGTTTAAAATTTTATAATTAATATAAAATAGATTAAAAGATGATGAGAAAAGAATGGAAGTTAACAGACTGATAACAATACATAGGAACTCAAATGGACTCAAATGTAATAATTGAATATTCAAAACTTTCTACTCCAGAATTGTTTATCTACTAGTTGATCTGATCAGTAATGGGTAATAAAGTGGACAGCAAAGAAAACAATTTGTATTTATAAATATACGGAGGGATATGTGGAGATCAAAATGTGGATTATTTCAGGTTCAGGTTAACTTGTAATTTTATGTACCTATGCTTCCTTATGCAAGCAATTAACATCTGATAATACATATCTGATATTTAATAAAATAATATTTGATAATATCTAACATTTAATAAAATCTGTCAAAATTTAAATATCGAAAGTGCTTCAGAGTAAAGTGTAGAGAGCAGAAAGCAAACTTAAATTAAAATATTTAAGCATTATGTGAATGAAAAGAATACCTTGCACTGTCTGAATGAATTTGTTTAATTTGTTCCTCGCAATGATTTGATATCATTGATAAATGTTGTTGCTCGGTATGATCCAAAAATGATTTCGCATATAAAATGAAGATACATTCCGGTTCGTTGGCTACCGTCAATTCCGCAAGCCATTCTTGAATATTGCGTGATGTTTCGCTACACAACGCATTGAGTGCCCGTATGGGCACTGAAGTCATTGCTTACTCTTAAATAAATAATGAATTTTAAATTTTAACAAAATGTTATTGTAAAGCATTTGCTCAGTTATTCGAATATTAATCATTCTCTATTAAACAAATGCATGTCTTATTCTATCCATTGATTCAACCGGATAAAAGTTTACACTTCTAACAGGAAGTAACAATGATTAAAACGGTGTCGCAGAATAGTGAGGAAAATATTTACGTCGATAGTTCCGGGTATACTGGGAAAACAATAGAGTTAATAAATAGAAGTTTCCGAAAAATTCTTCTAAGAATTTATTACCCGAACAGCAAAGTGTATTAAATGCATTAGTATTTTCGGACTTTTTTCCGGAAAGTTTCGGTTGTGATTAATTCGCATTTCCATTAATTAAAGAACAATTGTGATGATATCACGCCTACAGCACAATGAATCTCATACATTTCTCCCAATCAGAAGTGAATGAAATGAACAAAAATATAATTTATAATTTAAAAAAAGATTTGAAATTTTTTGCAATTTGGAAAAAACACATTTAAAAAAATATTTGTTTTCATAAACCAAAGATATGTGCCAAAAAATGGATCGAAAAGGAAGTTTGCTTAAATTGCATTAAAGGAAATTTGAGATTTCCTTAAAATTGAACTTAATTATTTAGGAATAGATTGGAATAAAATGCTTTGAAGTAAATATAATTGATGAGATAATCTAATCTTATGAAAAATAAAACGCAAAAATATTTGCACACTTCCCCTAATTACTATTTAATAATTTTTCTTTAATTTTTTTAAATTTTTTTTAAATTTTTTTAAATAAATTTATTAAATAAAAATTAGTCAAATAAGTTTGATAAAATTGATTGATAAAACGCACAATTTACAAATTTGAAATATTGTTAAAATTTAATTTCAATTTCATTTTGGAACAGATTGGAATAAAAGATTCTAAAGCAAATATAATTGGTGGCATAATCAAATCTTATAGCTGTCAAAAAGCATCTGAACCTTTCACTTGTCATTAAACAAGTAAACCAGGCAGTTCTTCATTATAATAGGCTTAAAATCTAAAAGCTTGAAGTATACCTCGATGTATTACCCAGTAGGCGGTATAATGAAGTAAATAAATGATTGAATTATGAAAATAATTAAAAGAAATGAGTGATCGAAGAATGAATGCACTCAATGTGGAATATAATATAGCATTGTAGAATCTCTTACTACTAGGAAATGACAGAAATTTCACCTTGAAGATTGAAAAACTATGAAAAGTAATTTAATAACTATGAAAAATAATTTGACGTTGGCAAAATAGAGAGATAAAGGCAAAGGTAGAGAGAAGGAAGAGAGAGAGAGATAGGGAAATCAACGATTTTGAAGAAAATGATGACGAATTAAAATAGGAAAATATAAAAGAAGAAAAAAATAATGATAACATCGGAGAGAGATGAAAGTGACAAAGGTCAGCTCATTTAATAGAGAATTAAATAGAACTAATTTAGAGAAATTAGACTCATTTTACCTTTACTATTAGTATATTACTAATAATGGGAAACAAAAAAATAAATAAGCAATTACATTGATTGTCTATTTTTCACGTTTAAATTTGTCTTCATGTAGTAATAATCATTTTCACGTAAAATATTTTATTCGTTTCATTTTATCCAGTATAAATTTCATGACGTATTACACGTCATTGTAATTGGCTCACGTAAAAAAAATCATATTAAGAATTGGCGGAATGAAAGTGAGAAATCATATTATATATAATAAAACTGCATGGCGCAGTATTGTCAATAGCTAACAACTAACAACTCAGCTAACAACTTTGATTCAGTTCGGATCGTTTTATTATCACTAAGAGTTTAGTTTTTACGGAAAAGACTGTAAACGATTTTATTTTACTTTCGGGCATAGTCATCATTAGATTAAGATTAAGCAAGTTTACTAGCTACAGCTTACTTAAATTGAATCAGACAATTATTGTCAAAATTGATGAAACCTTTTAAGCGTGCTGTGTGTGTGTGTATATATATGTGTGTGTGCGAATATTGGAATGGTCAATAGTGGCCGACGATTGAATTTCAACAATTGTAAAGGACACTAGTAGTGCAACAAAGGAGAGATATCATAACAGGAGTAATACAATGATGAAATGTTGAAGGACATTGTGATCTATTATCAATTGCATTCATTTATTTGAGCATAATTTGTTAGATTTAACAACTGTAAACTAGTACTTAAATGAATATGAATGAAGAGAAAATATTGAACGGATATTTAATGTTAAATTATATCCCGGATCCGTTCATTTTAAGTGAGTTTATGATAAAATGATTATTAATAAGTACAGTGTCAGGTAACAGTATCAGGTAAATAAATGGTCACAGCAATCTCCAGTATGATAATGATAATCTTGCAAAATAATAGTCAGTATTATAACAAATGTTTATGATTGACTAAATAAGTTTGATTCATCTATGTTTTGTTAAGTTTCATAATGATAACGGTAGTGATAGCGGAAATTAAAAACAGTGTCAGGTAAATATAGTTTAGATTAAATAAATGGTATAGTGATCGTAAAATTGTTCAGTATATATATATACATATATAACAGGTTCTTAGGTCAAGATAAACGTGTCTTAGTGATAAGATGATAATGATGATGACATGTGGAAACTAGTTTTAATTAATACACTTCAATCCGTGTCATAAATATTATACAATTTTATCATCTATGATTGTCACTATGACCACTTTAATCGTTACAATCATCATTCATTATTGTCCTCATTATCACTAAATTAAGATCAATTAAATAAATTATGGATAATTCAAAAGTCTGCAATATCATGTTTAATTTATATAAAATAATTAATTATTTCATTACATATGTGAACTATATATACATACAGCAATGGCTGACTGAAATTTTTATTTCCTCAAAAAATGTTGGTAAATCTTAATTTCTCATTTTTTTTAACCTATTTCGGTTAACTGCGAATTCCTTCGTATTTTTCGATTTCGAATTTTCATCCTTAAATGATAACGGAAGAAAAAAATGATACTGAAATTGAAATTGCTTGTTCGAATCAATTTCAAACAATTAGTCCATTACTGGAATATTTTTGTTGTCTAATTTCTCTAAAATAATCATTTTTTTCCGCAATCCTAATTATATATTATAATTAATTGCTTATAGTCTAACCGAATATTTCCAATTAGATACATTTGCCTATCAATTTAGATATACCTTTGCTTATCAATACAATATTTCGCTACATATATGATACCTTTGCCTATCAGAGTATATTATTAAAAGTAATTTTCTTTTTCTTTGCGAAGCGATCAAAGAAAAAAATCTTAATACTTATGACGTTTATGAAGTAATTGTTGTCTATGAAAATTTTTACCTGAAACTATTGCTATATTGCAATAGCTAATTATTTATAAGTATGAAAATGAGTGCAATAATTAATAAATTATTTTTCAATCAAAATACGTTGCTTTTAAATTGAAGGTCAAATAAAATTGAATAACAATATGATGTTGTCGATACCATTTAGAGTTTCTTATTGCTTCACATTACTCATGAAATTTATATCTCTTATATTTGATTACATAAAAAGTTCAATGATCTTATCAAAATGAACTGAAATGACATGGAGGAGTTTAATTTACGATTACAAACAAATAGGAAAATCGGTAATAAATATTATTGGATGAATTAGTGCTACCCTAATTCTTCATTCATATATTGGGAATGAATTTAATTTTGATTTTCATATTTTTCAAAATTATTAAATTTTAATTCCGATTCTCACTCACATTAATACCACTTGTAAACTGCTCAAACTATTTAATAAGAATCATTTCATGCTTTTTTTCTTTCTAAAAATTTATATCAACCCACAAGAAATGCGTATTGCAAATGGAAGCAGTAGCATTTACTTTATACCGTAACTTGCAGAAGTCGATAACAATTCAAAAGCTCTAACCTCCATAAATTTGTAAGAATTCAAGTGTTATAATTATATTTATAATAAAATCATTGAAATTTAGTTTATGATTTCGTATATAAATTAAATTTCAATCTTAGCACTTACAGATATGTGATAAAAGATGACTTTTGATAAGATTTATTTGTGATTAGTATTTAGAATTTGACAAACAATGATGATGATATTTGTATTGTTTACAAATCTTTGGATGAAATTTGCATTAATCAATTTCGTCCAATTATATTATTTATTAAACTTTAGCACAAAGTTCTTTCAAAAAATGAGCTATGAAAGAAAAGAGTATATTATAAGTTTAATTGATCGAAAGATTTGCATATATTTAATATCAAATGAAAACCATACATCAGAGAGGAATAATCACTGATATAATAATAATAATACATAATAATAATAACAATTAATAATAAATAATAATAGTAGTAATAATAACGATTAATAACAGTTATGAAAATAACAATAGTAATGATAATAATAATAATAATTGATAATGAATATGTTAGTATCACAGAAATGAAAGAAACTGAATTGGGTGACAGTTGCTCATCAGTCAAAGATTGTGTATTTTAATCACCTCAGCTATCATTAGCAGCAGTATTTGTTATTACTGTTGTTATTGGGAGGAGATGTAGAGGAGAGAATAATGAATGCAATAATGAATGAAGGAGTGATTGTAATATTGGAAAGGACAAAACATAATTTAACTATATGTCTGATCATTTATGCGGTGGACTAGAATTGAGAAATTTTTATGAAATTTAATTTTCACTAACTGGCAATGAAACTATGCCTCTCAATTCATCTATCGATATGTAGTGAAAGCTGCGGGATAGAAGAAAGCTGGCAACACTGTAAGATCAATTGAATTCTAGTAAAAATTATTCAGGATCAGAATTCGAACTATTTATTGGGCACCGCTCAAATCATTTGAAAATTTGAGAATAACTAAGCCATGGCTTAACGATTATAAAATCATTTCTTTGCTCTTTTAAAATGCTTTCGTTTCAACTCTTTTGAAATAAAATATTTTGGATTTTAATAAAAACAATAGACATAATTACCAGTGTTTTTAAAAACATCAGCATAAATGCTTCGTATCATTTCGCTTAATAATTCCGGAAGTAGCCGGAAATAAAATATTAACACTGTCATTCATTTCAGGAGCAGGTAATCCTTTAAAAAGCAAATGTGATTTAGAGAGAAAGTAATTCAAAATGGAAAAAAACAAACGACAAAATTTTCCACTATTTTCACTGTTATGTTTCGAAAATGCCTCACACAACTAGAATCATAAATTTGAAATAAGTTGCAATAGATAGCTTTTCTTCTTTTCTCTTCGAACATTAATAACAATGCTATCAATATTATCATTACTATTACTATTGTTCCTATCACTATTATATTCTGTTATCATTTTAATTATTATTATTATTAAAATATTAATTTCGATGATATATGAAATCAGTTGTTTCAATGATTTATTTCAAATGTTTCTGAGAGATTCTGAAGCCTCCAGAATCAATGTACGATGGCTTAGAACTTCAGTCCACGACATCGTATTTTTTTATGAGATGACAGAAATGCAACAAAAAAAAAGAAAATAAAATGGAGATAAATGGAAAGAGAGAGAAAGAGAAAAGAAAAGAAGGAGAGAGAAAGAGCAAAACTATTATCATAGCACCCCTACTATGCGATCTATCGGATTTTCTGGGATCGAGATTCTACGATCTCCTCGAGTCCAAAATAGCATTTCGGAGTTTGTGAGGTAATATCTCCTTCCCACCTGTCTTTTCCCTCTGCCAGTACTATGCTCAAAATCATTACAATGATAGGCCGCTTCTCCCTTTTTTCTCCATTAATAATTTTTCTGACGAAAGAGCTTAATGTTTGGTATAGAAAGAAGCTAATTGGTCAGAGAGTTTAGTCACTCCTCCGAATTGTTTATCTTTATGTTCCTTAAAGTGTCAAAGTAATTCATTCAACTGGAATATTGCAGTAGAAGTTTGAATAATTCGAAGTGAGGAAGTGGTCAGTTGGGATGTGAGTGTTGCCATTCTTCGATGACAAAATCCGTAATCGGTCATTATCGCAATTTCTTATCGATGATCATTTATCGATGCTCGATGATATTTTACTGAGACGTTAAATTTTTCAAATGGTTCACATTTCGAAAATTTCTTTTCAAATTATGACTAATTGGTCAATTGATTAGTTGAACTGCCTGATTGTATGAGATGGCCTCGCCTTTCTCTTTCAGTCAATTTGAATACTTTTTTAATTTACAACGATAAATTTTATTGAATAGGTTTAAATTTAACGATTCTTTAGAAAATATTCTTCGGAATTTAAAAAATAAACTATGAAATACTTTTAAAATATAAACATCGTTAAGAACAGAAGATATGAAACATCTCGAAAGATGATTCTATAAGATGAATATTTCATATTTGAAGCTAATCTGTCAGATCACGCAAGGCTGTAGTAGTTTCGTTTTTCAGTTTTTTTAAATGTAAACTTGTTGATAATTAGTAATTTTAAACATTAGATAGTTTAAGAAGAATCTATGTCGATATGTAGACCAATTTTAGGATGAAAAGAAAGGATGGAAAATGGAAGGAGAGAATGGAGGGAAAGCGTGACACAATAATTTTATGTAACGTGATAATATCACATTTTAAGTGAAATTTTGGTCCGAAATTTGTCTATTATTGTTTGTATCGCCTTTATTTAATGGTTTTCTATTCACTACAGGAATCATATTGGATTTAATTGGTTGGAAGATCAATAAATGGATGAAATATCTGTAAAAACTGAAGGCGATTCCATGCTAGAATATTATCCGAAATTGCAAATCATTGATGAGAAATTGATCAAGCAACTAGTTGAGGATGCTGTTGATTGGGCACATGTTAGTGTTAATATTTATTTATAAGTTAGTCTTTCTCTTTTAATATTTTTATCTCTGTCAAATTTCGTTTCACATACAATTTAGACGTTGCATAATATCATGTGCAGAAATATAAGCTAAGAAAAACTCACGAAATGAAAAAAAGAAATTTGAATCTTACCAATGTCTATAAGATGGTTCAATTTTTCGTTTCAGGCGAATGGTATGGTAATGAGGACAGCAACAGCTACCGATAGTAGTGATATATGTCAAACAGCTCCCTGTACCCTCTTTCCTTCACCATTTCCTTGCATCTTATTTCAGGAAGCTATGGACATTCAGCAGGTATATTATTCTTATTAGGATTGGAAATGTATTGTCGGGAACTCCTGAAAATTGCACCATTGAGTTACTGTTTTCTTGAAAGTTCAAAATAAATGGAAAAGACAGAATTATTAAGGGAACTGTATTAATTTCTACTTGATGGAGAATTATAGGACGGTTACCTTTTTGATTTCACATTTCGCTGCAGTGCTTACACACCCAGGAATCTTAAGTCTTCATTTATATTACAATGACGAAAGTAATTAATTAACATGTTATTGCTAATGCAAAATAGAAAACTGGAATAGTCGTTCGGTTATCTTAGAATGACTTCAATTTCGATCCACCCAGAGAAATTTTATAATTCGTTCTGTTTTGAATTTATATTTATTTTATCAAAATTAATCGTAGTTGTCAAACAATTAATTTTGCAGACATTTAATATGTTATATTTTCGAATATCTTGGGATTTCGACTTCTTGATCAAATCACATGCCGAGGTGGTAAAAACTGATGATTTTACGAGGTAAACTGTCCACTTTTCACTTTAAAGTGCAAAGAAGTTTAAGAATTATTTATACTGATTTATTTACGCACTTATTTTCCGGAATTTATAAATTGCAACCGTATTCCAAACATTTAAACATGGATATACGTGTAACGTTTATTTCTGGAATTTATCGACAGCTATTTTGTATGTTTCAGGCATTTTGTGGAAATTCTTAATGCGATTCGCAGCTCAGACTTTTGTCAAAAGAATACGTTGTTGATACAGAGAAATGATTATATGTGTCATGAAGATAGTTATGGAAATCATTCGCTAAAACAGGTCCTTAACGAATCTTTTTATTGTGCATGTATATTTTAATTTAACGCTGTTATTAAGTGGATTGCCAGAGATATTAGTGACTACAGGTGGCAATTTCACTTTTCTTCATCGCAGTGATAGCAGTAGTTAAAAGCAAAGTTTATGTTCAATTCTGAGAAATTTTTTCCTTATAAATTATATATCTTACCTTTAGTTTTTGGATGTAGATCTTTCTAATAGAGGAAGTCTAAAAGAAACTTTTACTCGAAAAATTGGGACTTTAGATTGAAGTGAACAATATAGCCGCAAGCATGGGCTCACTTGCGGAACGTGTTACTTGCATGCATAGAAGAACCATGGGAACATTACAGCTTTCTGATAAAATTATTGAAAAGACTCTTCTAGATAATCATCCGACGACCACAATTGCAAAGGGAATCTGCGAAGCGTGGTAAATTTTATTAATTTATTTGATAAAGTTTAGCCAGGATCTTTCCCTGAGATTAAAAATTTGGACCATCAACGAGCTGTCTGGTCATTCACTGTGATGGCATTATTGTATGCGCGATACACCTTACTCAAGTATAATCGGAGTAAAAAGCTTAATTAAAATGAGCGTAAGTTGAAACAACAAACTCCATTTCTTCAAATATCTTGAGCAGATATTCGCATGAAATTTATTGTCCTCTTTGAAGTTGACTCATTTAGGTTTGATTATGGAGTACCAGAAGCAATTATATTATTTGTGGTTGAAGATGCTAATCAAAATCAAATTGATCAAAGACATGTGGAATATCGTATTGATGAACTCAGCAATAGAAGTGCAAGATGTTTTCGTATCACATTAACTGATGCTGCAAAGAGGTGAGTGCAAATTTCAGATATTTTATAGTGACTATTTATTTTATTTTATAATGACCTTTCATTTTTATTTTTTCAAGCCTTCTCCACTATTTGAAAATTAATAAATGAAAAAACCAATTAAATGGTAGTGCTATTGTACTGATATAAAGTATTATCTCCGCTTATTTGCTAATCATTTAGTTACTTTATGACATTGGTCTAAATTTTTTACACCTGATATGGCTTTTTTGTTGCAATTTCTCATTACTTTCAAGAGATTCAATGAGTTAAATAATATCAGATTTGTCTACTTCTTACATTCTTTTCAGTAAAAGTTTCCTTTGGACTTTTATGATTTCTTAAAGATTAAAAGTTAACGAAACCAATCATCATCTTATATTGGATAACAAATGGTGTGTAGCAGTTGTATATTTTCGAGCCGGTTACTCACCTAATAATTATCCGACGGAAACAGAATGGACTGCTCGTCGTACCATCGAATTATCGGATGCAGTGAAATGTCCCTGGATTGGTCTGCAGTTAGCAAACACCAAAAAAGTACAGCAGGTGAAGTCCCCCAACTATTGTCATTTTATCATCTTCTGGCCTTTGGCTGATCTGTTTGTCATCTTATCATCTGGTTACCTGAGATATTATTGTTTTCCTTTTTGCAGGTTTTATCCGAAAGTGGTGTTCTGGAAAAGTATATTACTGATAATAAAATGTGTGCGAGAATTCGAAAAACATTTGCTGGTATGTGGGGACTGGAAAATAATGATGATAAAACACAAAAGATAATTCAGGTGAGCTTCCAAGTATTTTGCATTCTAGGTATAATGTGCTAATTTCAGTAATATAATTCGGGAATTAGTAGAATAGTTCACGTTTAATTTGGCAAGCTGAATCAGTAACGGTATTATACCAGCCCTATTTTATTAGTGATTTCTCCCAAGCTGAGTAACATAAACGCTGCTGTGGATGTAATCCTCCAAGTATTGCGTGTCAGAATTTGTAACGGTACCCACAACTGGCCAGATAACACAAAAACGATCATCTACTTTAATATAGAAAAAGCGATCATCTATTTTTAGGATGCAATTGCACATCCAGAAAAGTTCGTCTTGAAACCTCAACTGGAAGGTGGAGGTGGAAATTATTATGGAAAAGAAGTTGCGGAAAAGTTGAAAACAATGAGTAAGGATGAAATGGCGGCACATATAATTATGGAACGTATCACTCCGATGGTTGTTAAGGTGAGAAGATCTTTTGAGTTGTTTATACCTGGGCTGAGATATTTCTATGAAATCATAACCTTTGTAAAATGTAAAGCATCATGAGCTGTATGAAATATAAAATTTATGTTAATAGAAAATGATATCATTCACATACGAAGCACTATTTCAGAACTACGTGATTCGACCACAACAGGAACCAGTTCTAATGGATGTAGTAGGAGAATTAGGGATTTACGGTTATCTTTACGGATCGTCTGCTGTTAATAACATTCTAGCAGAGAATGTCGTGAAGAACTATGTTGGTGGACATATCATCCGAAGCAAGAATAAAGACGTCGACAAAGGAGGGGTAGCTATTGGTGCCGCAGTCATCGATTCGCCTTATTTGTTTTGAAAGGTGTACAAGTCTTACAGCACATATATTGCACTTTCGATTTTTATAGTGTCATTATCTTTTTATGGAATGGTAGCGGTGAAAATATTTTTCAATCTGACTTGTTAACTAAAGACAGTTCTTCTGTTCCTTCACACCTGTGTGAACTTGACAAAAACACAAAAAGCCGAAAAAGCTGGAGATTCAGAGAGGTAACTAACAAAGCATGTAATTATACTTCTTTCTAGTACACCAGCCAGGAAAAACTGCTCAGCAGATAGTCCATAAATAACTCGAATGATATAAATTTCTCGTAATTTTGGTTGTTTCAATATTCCATTCATTTATCCTAGTTCACTTGTCCCAGTTTTTCAGTCCAGTCCTGCCATATATGTTTCTTAAACTCCAACTTTTTAAACAGACCAATATTTAAAAAGATCTGTGGAATGCTTTCATTACATTTGTTAATATTTCATAAAATTCTTGAAAATAAAAATAACCAATAAAGATTGTTAACTTCACCAAAGTCAGTCTTCAGCATCAGAAAGCATTAAATCTTCTAGAATATCCTCGTCACCTTTATTAGTCAATACACTTCTCTCAGATTTTCGCTTTGTTCGCTTCACGCTGCTCTTTTTGACCTGGAAAAAAATGTACCTACGAATACGTCAGGTATCATTAACAGAAATATTGCATAAAAGGAAGTTAAGTGCGAAAAACCAAGAGATTTTCAAATTTAGGAGTGAAGGACTAAACCAATCATTTTTTTAAACAATATTTAATAATCTACGCTATAATTTTGAAATTTCGCTTTTGTTAGTCAACTTACTCCTATTTTATCGGCTTTCATCACAATTGATGATTTCGTTTTCATTACTGATGTAGCATTCTGTCCAGGATTTGGATGAGACGGTTGCTGCATAACTTTTGTCTGCAGAAAATTTGATTTTAATAAATCGTTTAAATTTAATTAACTTTCAGATATTTTTCCAATTCCAATTGCAATTCATTAACACGAATTTCACTGTTTTAAAAGGGAAAGGTAAGTTGTCTGCTCCGCTTTTAGCATGCAGATGAGAAAAGATTCGATAAAACTAACATCCGCCAGATTTCTTGCATCGTCTTTCAGTTTCCACATCTTTTGCCATGAATCATAAAATTTTGTCAGCGGAGCATCTGGAGCTTGAAAGCGCCTCTCCAAGTGTTTCTGTAACAAATACCATAATGTTCATCACGGCAACCACCTTAGCGTTTGAAAAGTAAGAGATACAACGCAGTCTTTTCATCTTCCCATCACACTATTGCTTCCTTCACACTTGTAAAGAATAAAAACGAACCATAGGATGTTGCAATGGTTAGTTTAAATATAAACATACCATTAATGCTTTATTGGTTAAATCAACATCAGTACTATTCAAAATTCCTCTTGCATAAACAGCCTGCTCCTGTAACTTTGTTTCCAACAATTTGAAAAGTCGCGAAAACTCTGTATTGCGACAATTTTTGACGAACGCTTTAATCTAAACAGAAGGAAAGCATAATCAGAAAAATAGGTACCGCAAGTATTTCTTTTTATCCCGTAACCATTACAATGAGAGCACACAGCGAAAGAATAATATTAAAGAAACTGTAAAAATTAGAGAATTTTTCCCTGTGCATTTCATGCTTCTATCAGCCATTTTATTCCTCTATCTCTTTAATATACCCACAGATATGGCTGACTACAGCAACGATTTTGCTTCCATATTATGCAAATATGGCTAAACCTCATGATTTATAGGAATGACAATGTCAGCAAAGGCACAGCTCCGTTGTACGGTGTGAGCTGCTTCAAGATTTATCCTGAATAATTCTTCCAAAGCTGCTTGGCGAAATCCAACATCACCAATATGTGCTGCGGAAACCTGGAAAACACATCCGGATTTTCAACAAGATTTTTTCAACCAAAGCTAATACATTTTAAATTGTGGTGACAGCAAGCACACTGTTATGAATCAGTTTTATGATGGTCGGAGAAATACATTTTATGAAGTTCCTGAGAATAGGGGAACTCAAATCAAAATTTTAACTGACTTTGAAAACCGTTGGAGTCGATGAAAATATTTACAAAATTCTAATTTCACTTTAATCCAAATCAAAATGCAAGTGAATACAAAACAGAATTATACCTTAAGCGTACATCTCATATCGATGTTTTTCTGCATTCCTTTTGCTTTCATGGGTTTCTTTTTCAGCATTAGAAGTGCATCAGATAGTAACTGAAATTATTTACTCGTTATTATCATCATTCAAGAAACAACCAAGAGCTATTTTTTGTTGATATGAATAATCATTTAGAAAGATCGTTTACTAAATTCAAACACCCATATATGTTTCCGACATTTGGAAATAATTTTTTGGCTATAACTTAATTTTTTTGCGTACCTTATGATCTCCTGAATCTTTATGTTTCCAAAAGTCATCAGTAAATGTAGAAGAGTAGCAACAATACTCAAAATCATCGAAACAAAGATAATTCAAAATATTAAAAGCTGCGAAAGCCAATCGGAGAAGCACCAAAGCATTAGGAGAACTATCAAGCTAAAATGACACTCAAAAACCAAACAAATTTGGTAACACCAACTTCATGGTTGTTGGCAAACGACCAAAGTTGAAGCCAAATCTCGCCAAAAAGTTCTTTTAAGCTTTTTCACTGTTCAGAAAATCTATGGCATCTCATAAATTTCATTCAATCACTAGCTCAAGCTAATAATGAAAAAAAAAAAACCTCAACAGCTAGTGGTAGAGTTGGAATATACGTGTGACAATTCTGTTGTATAATAAGTAGTATCCGAAGGCAATGAAGTCGGAGTGGGAAATATTTCAATGATGGAAAAAGTCTAGAAAAAGCATTTATGCAATAAAAAAGTTTAGTATCGGTTGTTTTAATTTTCCATTTAAAATTTCATATTCTGAAAACTACTGTTGGTAATTTTGACGAAAGCTAAGCAAACACAACATATGGCCTCAAGTAGTACAAGTGGAATAATGAATAATTAAATGAATAATAATGTTTTTTTTTTATAATAGATTTGAAATCTAAAAAATGCTGATAAAAATATTAAACATATACTTCATTGCGGAGATCACAACCTGACATAATGGATAATCAAGCTCCCTAATTCCAGCAGCATCCTCCTTTTCGCTGGAAATATGACCATGAGCCTTAGCAATCACCTGACTCCACAGATACAAGCATTGCATAAATTGCCAGTTATAAATGGTTTGAATAAGATCCTGAAACAAGAACTTGCTGCAAAAGCAAATTAAAAAGTAAAATAAATCATAAGAAGTTTTTTAGTACATTGGCTCTACTCCCATATCTCCGATTAAATTTACGTTTATACTCTATTCATTTCGAGTAATAGTCTTTAGTCATTTATTTCAATCTTTTATTTCAGCTTTATACACGAATACGATTTGAGTCTCATCATTGTACCATCCCTTACTATTAAAATAATTATGAATTTAGTCCAGTAACTAAATAAGCAACCTTTCGTTTAGCTATCATTGCATTCCTCAGGTGTATTGCTGTTTGCCTTATATATACAAATGTATATTGATATGCTATTTCTGGATGGGTCATACACAGTTCGGCGAAAGATTTTTGCATAAGTACAATCAAAAACCACGATTCTGCTTTTACATCTCGAACATTCATTACATATTCCAAATAACATCGCTAAAAAAAACTTTGCACTGAAAATACTACAAAATTTGATTTCCAACGCATTTGTATCTTTTTTTACAAAACCAAAAAGCTTTATTCCTACTAATGTTCAAAATAACACATAAGTGCTGCACTGTGCACGATTTTACAGCTATTTTAATAAAATTCCTTCAAAAACCTACTACTCAGTTACTTGCAGCCAAACTGTCACACTATACGAACCATTAAATAAGCCGTCATCGACGATTTAAAACAAATTAATATCTCTAACCTTGATTATTGCAGGAAAAGTATTTTTATGTATTTTAATTAGTTTAGACAGAACTACAAAAGCAGCAATACGACATTCGTCCGTACGGCGACTCCAAATTTTAATAGTTGTCTGAAAATCAGTTAACTTTCTCAATCGAAATGTCATACTTCAAATACAACTACAAAAGAAGAATGAAAGGTACATAAAAAAGTATGAATGTTAAATTAAAATTTGAAATTTACATTAACCGAATCCTAATATCCTGTGGTCATGCAATCTGATAAACCAACTGACCTTTGTAAGACTTCGAGTAAGTTTTGGGAAATGAATGTATAATTCGAGCAAATCAGTGACTGCACGCAATGTACATACAGTAACACTTGGTGTCTGGATTTCGTTCAGAAACTATAATTCATAAAATTCAAAGCTATGGACCACAAATTTTAAAGAACCGGGACTCCTGCTTCACCAATGCAGATCAGTGATTGACGCTGGGCCTTCGTCGAAGTTTCCATTGTTTTTGATGATGCTACATTAATGTCAGTAAAGATGCTAAGCCATATTTCACTTTGATACACTGTAGTATATTCCACCTATAATCCCGACGACAGACAGGATGATAAGTCAGAGAAATTAACGTGAAAATGTGAGGTAATTCTTTATAACTATCACTAATACTATATGACTGTAATGCCAGCAAATAAAGGCAATGGTACAACTTCAAAGTTGTACCTGTCTTGACATACTGGTATCACAACCACGTAACAGCAATAGTAAATTTGCAATATGTTCATCGCATCACCTTGCTGTGACTCTTAAGCCGTGAATGACAAAAATTAATTACCTGTAAGAGAGCATGAAGATAGCTTTTAATTAAACTACCGTGCTTTTTCCAGCATCGGTATTGCTTTTTCTTATACTTCTCATTTTTTTTGAACTTTGAATCTGGTTCTTCATCATCTGCTTCGGTCTTGATATGATCTATTAATTTAAGCAAACATTTGCCTAGATAGGTGAAGCATAACCGTACAACTCTTTCAAACACATCACTATCGTTAATCACATATCTTGGTGGTTCAATATCGGCACCAACACGTGCCACGCAAGCCGTAAATGCAGCAACCATCTGATGAATTACTGGTAGTTCCAATTGCTCCTTTAAAAATTGCATAATCATTCAGGGAAAATATGTAATGCATTGCTTTTTTTAAAAAGTATCTTCTGATAAATGAATGAATTCCAGCAAAATGTCTAGCCTCATCCGAGAACAATTATGGAAATCATTATACTGAACGCACGATCTCTATTCAATTTCTCAAATAAATTAAAAAAGCAGTGAAAAAGATTATGTTTACGATTGTTCCCCAAGTAGTTAAGAATGCAATGAGTAGGAATAAATTACGCATTTAAAAAGGAACCTTTTGCAGAAGTGCATTTTGTAAATTAGTTACAAAATCCACATCGATTACTTTCCGTCCTGCTGAATCTCTCTTTAGGTGTTTGTCCTTTTCGGATCTTTCACCTTCACTAATTGCTTCTTCATAATGTGGATCTATAAAAATATAAAAATTAGTCATTTTTCATTTTTTTTCGATTGGAATTAGATTCCTTCCATAAAATAACTTTACATAAGATAAATTCAAACGCTATCAGCAGACTGAAAATAGGTTAACTTTAAGGGAAGCAATAAAAATTGGAAGTAATAAGTTTCTCTTGATAAGCTCATATAAAGCCATAATAACGTAACGATGATTTCAGAAAATAATACTCCACAAAAATTATTAGAAAAGACAAGTGCTTGAAACATTCTGAAAAAAGTTTACCTTCTTCCACATCAGAATCCGACTCATCAAACTGTAATAAGTCAGATTCCTGTTCTTTTAGAAATTTGTAAAATTTTGGATCACTATCAGCAAGTTCAATTAGTTGTTTCTTGTGGCTGGAGAGTGTTAAATCTTCTGTATCTGCAAGTAATAAGTCAAAAGTTCGGTTGGACGACATTGATTATACCGGAACTTACATTTGGAATTGTAGCCGTAAGCTATAGCATTATGGTGAATAATGGTAGAGTTTCTTATAAAGATGGTCTACTATGACTCTTAAAAGTTAAGGTTCCTATCTGATGAGCTGCACAAATGGGATGCCTATGACTGTAATAAAAAAGTATAATTAAGATAATCAGTGCAGAAGAAAACCTGAAATAATATCACAAATTTACCGTTAAACATTGATTCCTCCTTGTTCGTTTCTTCGCTTTTCAATTTCTTCCGCTTTGAATATGTCTGAAGCATAGCGTTTCCTTGCCTCTTTTGCGCTTTCGCATTCCTTCGACCAGTATCATTCACGTTAGTCATTGCGCCTAATAATTATATTTAGTAAAAAAAAAGCAATATTTTTCTGACAAGCAGTAGCAGAGAATCGGACAATCATGTACCACACCTGAAAACCTGCAACCATGTGTTGTAAACTTTCCTGCTGTCCGCGTCGCTTTTTCTCATTTGTTCTCAAGTCATACCGGTACACGGTGTCACGTATTGTATTGCTATGTTGTTTTTCGGGTTAGGAGGATGAGTTACTTTTGTTCACTATTGCTTTCTTGAATTATCTCCAGAAATATTGGCAAAGTTTTCTTGTCTGATTTAGTAAATGCATGAGAAAAAAAAACGATGTCTGCAGTGAAAACAAAATAAAATTGAGAATATTATTTTGTATTTATGTAAATGAAATCGGGTATGTATAAAATACACTAAATCATATGGGTACCTCATTGTTGTATCATTGTTTAGTAGACATATATGGCCGTTTCTATTAAGTTAGTCTTATCATTGTATGCCCGTCATTAAGATATCCATTTAGAGTGTTGGGAATCTCAGTTATCACTTATAATTATGTCTGGAATGCGTAAATAAGGGTATCACACATATGATACATTTTTTTGTGTCTATTGCGTAATAGATTGTTATATTACCGAACACTTAAAGTAGTGGATGGTTCATACACACAAAAAAGCATATTGTGATGTCCAGCAAAAAATATTCCGGATTTCAGAACTGCTTCCTTGGATCGTAGTTATCATTCAAGTGATATACACGATCATGATCATGATGTAGTTCCTATACCCGTAACGGAAGAAAGTATGTACGCAGAAATGAAAAAAGGAGAACACAAGTAAGCCACAGGGTACAATAATATTTACATAGGTTGACGGTAGTGACGATCATCCATCGATAAGGAAGGATATAGAAAATTAGTGTCTGATATTACGGGATACTGTAGTAAAGTTGTGATTGTATTACTATATTTTTCTGATAGTTTTGTATGATATAATGATACTAAAGTATCATTATATCATATAAAACTTATCTTTTATAAAGATAAAAGAAATTTGGAAATGGAAAAAAACTTCACGCATTTCTTTATAATTTAAAGTTTCATCTGATAAAATCTATATAGAATAATAAGATAAACTTGTAAAAATCATCAATGAATACCATAAATAAATATTTCAACTGCAAGATTCTGTTAATTAAGATACTTCAAAAACTCTTTTTCTTACACTTTTTTTTCTAAACAGTTTCGTAGAGTTTGCGCGTGAAAAAGCGCAACCGGATCTTGCACGAGTTAAACTTTTACTTTGTAATAACAGCAAACGATTGGTAGAATGGGCCATCAAAAGTGCTAACGAAAACATAAAGGTAAAAGAAATATTGAAAATGAAAAAAAACTTCACACATTTCTTTATAATTTAAAGTTTTACCCGATAAAATCTACATTGAATAATAAGATCGACGTGTGGATTTATCGAGACAATCTATTTACGTCATTCACATTACTCAAACATACGCACAATATTATCACGTTTTTTGTTCATGATGATATAATTATCTAATGAAAAGTCGCATCATTTGAGATGGCGTTTTTATCCTGATTTCACATGCTCATGTTTCGATACATTTTTCATGACAATATATCATGTAAAAATTGGTTACTATACTTCACATCAAAGAAATGTTATCTGACCTTAGAGGTCGAAGTTAATCATCATAACACTATGCTGTATTCGATTGCATGAAATAATAATTCCAGTTTTAAGGCAAACACATATTTGAAATCTTAAATGTATATACACGCAACGCATAAATATCTTTTCTAAAATTCAATATTTAATATTTTTGTAATTTTATATAATTCAATGCATCATTACGTGCATACGTTTGGTAATTAATACCACCACGTTTACACGTAATTTTTTGCTAAATGGATTCCTATTAGAAAAAAAATTTGCGAAGAATTGGGATTCTTCTTAAATATATCACATTATCAGGCAATTTCAAAAGCATCCGGACTGATCAAACCATTTGATACTAATGAGTGCATTCTAATCTGGAAACGTCCCGAAGATTACAATTCTTGGCGTGAGTTGCTTCCGTTGAAAATGATGTTACAAATTAAATTAATGGTCAGTGAAACTGGGAAAGTCGTCGCGAAAGCTAATAGCAAATTTCGAGGTATCATGCAGTTTACCTTTGTTTTTCTAGGTTAAGTGTTAACTATGTGTTGCTGAAGTATAGTTTTATTAAATTTAAAATTAATGATCATTCAAAATAATTAGGATTAGAAAGTCAGGCTAGAGAAGGATTACTTTCAGATTTGTATTGTATTAATTAACAATTGTTATAGCGGTTGTTGATCCGGATGCAATATGTACAGCTGACGAACCACCAATTCATAAATTTGTACTGAACTCTGAACCTGCTACCATGATATTACAAAAGAAGAAACCAAAGTAAATAGTTTTTTTTCTCATTGCTTATTTCAGTCATTTCTAATTACTTTGCTTCTACGTCATAATTTCTTCATTCTATCATGATATTAGCATATAATTCGTATCGGTTGTTTTTATGAGCAAAAAAAAATATGACTGAAGAAGGTTGTATAAATGAATTTGAATCTAATTTTGAATTTCTTCATATTTATGTTTTCAGGGAAAAAACTGATTCTAATACCGGAATGCAGACAGAAATGAAGAATAAAAATTTTCTAAATGAATCACAAAATACCAATTGGATTCTTGTGCTGTTATTTTGTTTACTGGCCACTTTTCTCTTAAGGATTCTCACCTAAGACTTCTATCACAAAACTATTGTAGGCTTCTGCAGTTGAATTGCCTAATTTCCTTCAGAAGAACTGATTATTCATTGCAGTACATTTCACGCTAGTTAAGAGGAAAAGAACCATGTGATGCCATGTTGCTGTCTAAAATTCAAATTAATAAATATGATAAATATGATAAAAAAATTTTTCATATAAACATGATTTCCGCATGCTTAATTGATAAAAAAATTCTTTTTTAATTCAAATAATTATAAATTAATGATAGTAAATAATATCATGCATGCATTACGTGAACTATTGTGATAATTTTATGATTGCGCGTGATTTACTTCTAACAAATCGATTCCATCTTGCACAGATTCAATAATTTTGTTAGAAATTTTGACAAATTTAATTCTTGCAAACTTTTTAATTAAGTATGCAGAAAATGTTTCGGTCATTGACAAATGTATCAGAAGTAAATTTTTAGCATTACATCTTAACAATTTGCTGTTCTATGTGGCCTAGTTGTATGGAGAAATATACATAAGATTCGAGGATCATCACTGCATACTTCACTAAGTAAAGTTCTTCAACATTGCTCCCAAAAATACAAATTAAATTTATTTGATTTTAACCGCTAATTCAATTATGGTTTGCGCTTTTGTGCTTTTTGATAATGGCCCAAATAGTTAATGAAGTGATTCTATGTTACCTATTTAGGTCGCCTATTTGAAACAGTCTTCAAATTTTTATTTAAGATTTATCCAAAACAAGAAAGAATATATGTTATAATTGATTTCAAGAAATCAAAAAATATCAAATATTCTGAGTCAACGATTAGTTTTCCAGCTTTCCGGTATAAATAAAAAAGCAGAAATGGATAGTAAGTGTGTAAAAGCAGATGAATATCACCGAAAAAAAGAGAATAATATTTTCCAAACATTTTCAAGGTGCCATAAAATCATAAACCTAAGTAGGCTTATAATTTTTCAATTCTAAGAAGTTTACATTTGCTAGAAGCTTAAATACTTCCTTCTTTACTTTTGACGATATTATCACATTACATTTGAATAGCATTTTCATCATTATTTTACACATAAAGCTCGAATTTATCAGTGAAATGCGTGAATCGGTAAATCAAAGGTGTACACGTACGTGAAGAGTAAATAAAAGAACTGTTAACGCGCTGACGATGAAAAGTTTTATATTCATAACTATGTGAGATAATCATGTCATGGTAACATATATTTATAAAATACATAATCGTTCCATCTATGTTATTGTTTATTGAAAAGGTAAGAGAACGGTTGTTTGACGTTTTTGAATAATGGCAACGACGGCTTTAAAGTAAGAATTACAGCAGCGTTAGTTGAATTGAATTTCAAATTTTAATTAACAATTAATAATTTTTTAACATAACTGAAACTGTAAAGTTGTCTGAAAAATAGTCTCACAGATTTAAGCTAACAGGTGATGATATTTCAACTAATTGAAGATTAGCGGAAAGCAGATCTGATAGATTCAAATTTATATATACTTGGTGTGAATTATGAAGCTGTTTGATGCTCACTTTTAATCGATCGAAAAATTTCAACCAGTTTCAGAAATATTGACAAAGTGCAATCGCGTTCTAAATCTAAAATGAAAGAAAGCAAAAAACCACTTAGCAGGAGGTGACATAAAAAGCAGTTTTTTAATTGTTTCAAAATTACAATGTTTGCAAAAAGGATTTTGGTATGTGATAAATTTGCCAAACATAAATCAAATGTTAAAATTTATAAATCAAAATTATCATGGTATTTCAATAAAGATCCGGTATTCAATAATACATTTCTTTTTTATTTCCCTTTAGCATCCTGAAATTTGCGGTAGAAAAAGGACAACCGGATGTGGCACGTCTGAAACTTTTATTATGCAACAATAGTAGTCATCAAATGGAATGGATATTAAAATGTACCGATAATGCCATTACGGTAATTACTACCAAGTATTAAATAATAGCAACTAATTAATAAAATTTGATTTTTTCATATTAATTCCATGTATATTTTGCTAAAACGTTGAATAATTTCCGGCATTAACTTCCTTTTTTCTTTCTTTCAATAAATTATCATTTTATGTGTTCAAGAAAATTTCTAAAATTAATTTGCCTACAAAATTTAATTACCAATTTTTATAGTTATCTTTGTTAATTTATTTAAAAGACTTTCATTTACCTCTTCCATTCCCACTAATTTATTATAATTGTACTCAAGAAAGTTTAACAGGCTGAACCAGTGAAATCTGGTCATATCGAAAAGCTTGGAAGCAGTGAAGTGAATTTAATGTGGCAACGACCTAAAGCTATAAAGAAATGGACAGATGCACCTCAACCAAAAATGAAACTTTTTCTGAAATTAATTGCCATTAAAACTAATAAAGAAATAGCTGATGCATTTACAAAATTTAAAGGTAATTAATTTGTTATATACTCATATTCATTCTGCATTATTTGATACCAAGAAAACGAAAGCCTTACAATACTACAATACTACAATTTAAAAATCTATTAGTTACAGATTTTAAAAATTCCCACATTTATTAAATTTAAAAATTTTGGTACCAATATGAAAGTTAAAAAATTGGCAACAATATGAAGTTGGTAACAATATGAAAGTTAAAAAGTTACATTGAGCAGAATGAATATTTTATTAAGCATTGCATGAGATATAATATATTCGTAATACAAATAATATAATATTTATGGCTATTATTCTTACCTTTTTTATCAAAAAATCAACAATTTTTAGCAATGATAAATCCAGAAGCCGAATGTACAGTGGATGATTTACCTGTTCATGAAATAATTTTTAAATCGGAGGTAATTTCGGAACAATCAGCAACTGATGAAAGCAATTTCAAGTTAATAATTATTTATCTAATTGTTTGAAATCCATTTTCTTAAAACTTATGGCAGTATAAATTTGTTTACTGACAAATGGACTTCTATGGCAAACTGGTGACAATGATTAAGTTAATCAAAGTTTGAAACAAGAAGTACCAATCAATTATAAAAGTTAGGCCAAATTTACTTGTCTAAAAGTCAAAACCTTACAGGTTTTATCATAATCATCGTTTATCTACATGAAATATAAATTATACGATCCATTTAATTAAATAAAAAATTTCTTAGAAATTGAACGTTGCAGAAATGTCGTTGACAACGCAACAACTGATCCGGAAAATTTTCTTGAAAATCCAGATACGCTTTATTGGCTTATTGTATTATTGTGCTGTTTCCTTGGAGCTATCATTTTGGAATCTATCAGCAATGATGATCGCCATTCTCGGAGACATATCTCCAATTACTAATGGATATACTTTGAAATTTACGCCATTACTGATTTCCTACTTTCGGTACCCGTAGAATTTACATCCTTGCAAATGAAATAACTTTGTTTTTCAGTCATTTAAATAACCAAAAAAGATTCAGAAGTGGGAAATTTTATTACAGCACGAAAAATAAGTTACAATTAAGCAAAAATATATTTAAAAAAGAATTAAATTTTTAATGCTTTCTTTATTGCTTGATTTGTTTGTTTTATCAAATGTACGACAAAACTTAAATTTGATATTCTCAATTAGCATTAATATTACTTATTAATTAGCATTAATATTAATACTACTTAAGCAATACTATTTAATCTATTTTAAAGATGTATTAATTAAAATACAAACTCTTGAAGTTCTTAAATTCGAATTATTTTAAAAAATAAGTCGAAATTATTGGAAAAAAAATCTTTATTTATAAAATAATTTAGCAAAAAATTTATTTATCAAAAAAAATCAAAATAGTTATACCTAAGATTTTACTGTTTTATCTTATATTAACAGTGATGAGCAATTTATAATTTAAAAAAAATGCATAAAAATAATGCTTATTATTAATATTTCATTTTCGAGCATTTGCTTAATCTCTGTATTTCTTCTTTGTAATCATCTACTATAGTCTTTTATCACTATAATATCCCTCTTCTTCGCCATTACTGTCATCGCCAATTCCTGTTATCGCCGCCGAATTCATTTGTCTCTACTTAAATATTGAAAACAGTAATCGAATATCGATCGTTGTCCACGAAATGCATAAATGTTTATCACCTCATTTGATATGCTCAGAAAGAAAGATTGTAACCGAGATAGGAGCACCTAGTGATAAAATTCTACGATAACAATCTGATTGGCGTCGAATTCTTATCCAAATTATAACTAAAGATGAACTTGGTAAATGAGTGCTTCAATATTATAAGGAATCATGCGGTAGCAGTTTGATCTTCTAGAATTGACCTTTCAGAAATGATCAACATGTGGGCAATTAGTGATCTTAACTTTTTCATCTTTTTATTTTTTATAAAAATATCTATGAACTAAAAAAGTTGAAAATTAAACTAACTATCTATAACATTAGTCTTTTACAACTTATGAAACATTTCTAACATCGTTATGCAGAAATTCCCATTCATAATTGATAAATGATAATTGAACTGATAATTGCTAAATGCTTTTCTAAGTGTTAACGTATTCTTATAAAAAATTTGAATATTTAATTAAATAAAAATAAGTGATCTAAATTTTTTTATTTACCAACCTTAAATTTAGATATCATTACAGTATTAAAGCGTATAGCTATTTTTAACAATATGAACGTTAGCTGATAATTACTTCGTTCATCCTTCTAATTTCAAAACTGACAGCATCCTCAATTTTCACATACGTGTAATACGTATGAATGCACATTTAATGTATGCATGCATAAGCAACAAGCGGTAGTTTGAAATTTTAATATTTTTATACGATAAGTTATAATTATAGAGCATATAGAGTAATATTGTTCAATAATTATCCAAACAAAAACGTTCACAGTGTTTCATCCATTCCAATTAAATAAATGTATTAATTTAAATAAAAATTGCAGGCACTCTTACCAATTCCAGTCGAAATCAATTAAAAATATCTGTTGCTTGTCAAAATAGGCAAATTTCCTCAATTCTCACACCGTTTTGGAGTCCTTCAACTGGATCTTCGAGATCTAAAATCATAATGTGAAATTTTACATATCGTGAAATATAAACTTCAAAATAATACCACAAGCGGTTAAATTTTTCATTGATAGTATGAAAAAAAATATGATGATACGTTGAAATCTCTTTCGAAGCTTTAGAAATTGGGCAAGAAGAACTATAAGCCATAAACAATATTTCAATCCAAGCTAGGCCATATTTCCAACACGGTAGTAATAATCTTATAGCAATAATTTTTCTTTCTTCAACGAGTAATTTACAATACGGAAGGCAAATAAAAACACATGGTGAATTAACACAAATTTACGATTATAATTTGAAATCATAAGTACATCATTACTTATAGCTTTTTTAAGCGCTTGATCAAGATCCTCGATTAAATCATTAACATCTTCAATTCCCACTGATATTCGAATTAAATTATCACTGATGCCCAATTTGATTCGATCTTCTACCGGTACTGAAGCATGAGTCATTACAGCTGGTAGCTCTGCTAAACTTTCCACACAACCGAGTGATTCAGCCAAAGTGAAAATCTGTAATATTTAAATTAATAGGTAAAAAATTCAATTATTTTTAATTCTTGCAAGTAATTATAGTAATAAATATTATAAGCCATCTATACCTTTAGATTGGATAGGAATTTTCGAGATTCATCCAATTCACCTTTCAAATAAAATGATATCATACCACTCATTCCTTTAGTTTGTTTTTTATGAATTTTATGCTGTGGATGAGATTGAAGTTCTGGATAAAACACCTGAAAGTTAAACTTCGCACATCTCAAAATGAAAAATAATTCAAAAATTTTAATTAAATAAAACAAAATTCTAAACTTACTCGTTCAACTCTAGGATTACTTTCTAAAAATGTTGCAATTTGCATAGCATTATCCATATGTGTTCGCATCCTAATATGTAATGTTTTAACGCCACGATTTGCCAAAAAGCAGTCAAATGGTGATGGTATTGCACCAACAGCTGCAAAATATCACTTTAAAATTTTAATTTAAAAATTAAAAATAAAATGATATAAGTCTAAATGTATTTTATATTTTTCCTTCAAAAGAAAAAACACATTTACCCATTGAATGATGGCAAAAAGTTATTTTAAAAATAATTAAATTTTAAATGAAATGATGAAAAGACAAAATGATTCCTGAAAACAACCCTAAATGATAATCTTAATTTTAGGATGCGAGAAATGATTCCATTTGTGTAAAACATTTTAGCTGAGAAATATTTTTAGCTGAAAAAGAAGAATTTTTGGCAAAAGAAGCATTTGTTCCTCTTTAATTACTTTAATGGTATGCTAAAGTTATAACATGCAACATAAAATGATGCTATACTGATTGACAAGATGAAATGATAAGATAAGTCTAACTTATTTTACTTTTAATTCAACATTTAAATATCCAAAATTCTTTATCAAAATTTCTTCCTCAATTAAGTAAAAAAATGTACTAACCAAGTTGTTGAAATTTTAAACTTTCATCTAAATTTTTGATATTCGTCATTATAGCACCCATCACAACATCAGAATGACCATTGATGTATTTGGTGATTGAATGTAGCACAGCATCTGCTCCAAGTGATAATGGACTCTTTAAAAAAATTTTTTGTTTAAGTAAGGAGTTTGTTTGAAATGCATATATTAATTTAATTAATAAGTGTACATTCTAATTCTGAACCCATTTGTTAGATAAGAAAATTTGACGAAAGCAAACTTGAAAATACGGTGACATGAAGGTATTGTCCACAACTACTAAAATATCACTTCGAAAAGTTTTCGTAATTTCTACGACAGCTGCGATATCGATAACTTTCAATAATGGATTCGTTGGTGTTTCAAGCCATATCATCTATAAATTATTACTAATTGGTTGATCCCATAAATCTCGTTCATTTCTTAAAGGTAAAGAAAGTGATAAGAATTTTATTATATCAAAATGCAGTGACAGCTATTCCAGAATAAAGTGACAGCTTACGGGATCAACCCGAAGTTACTTAGAGAAAAATAATGCAAAATGCATACATACGTTTGTAATGAAAGTAAACGTCAGGTACTTCAAACTTCAGATCATGAATTCGGAAAAGTTATTCGAATATTCGAAATCTTCCTTAAAATGATTCTACCTTCGTATTGCTTTTTAAACTTCGGTTGAATGATTTCAGATCGGTCATATCAACGAATGAAATTTCAAGGCCATGCTGTGGAACAGAAACTTTTCGAAAAAAACGCTGAGTACCTCAAATAGAAGCAGCAATCAACAAATGATGTAATAGAAGAAAACTTAATAGTTCGTTCGGATTAAACATAATGCAAAACGTTGTATTATTAGAAAAATATGTAAATTTAATAATATTTAAATGCATTCGCACATTGAATTTTTTAATTTTTGACAATTAATTTATGTTAAAATATTGAAAAAAGAAGATAAAATCAACAACAACAACAACAACAAAATTCTTACCGCCATAAACATCGTCGCAGCAGACAATACTATCACCTGATTTTAGCGTATTTGTGATTGCCATTGATGCCGCAAGACCGGATGAATATACTCGGCCTAAGAAAATTATTCGTAAAATTTGAAATTTGAAACTAAAAGTACTATTATACAAAAATTTAGCTTTTTAAGCTTAGAGTTAAGGCCACTGATAGTTCACTATATCCCAAATTCATGTTTTAATACCGTTTGCAATAAATGCTTTCGCAATGAAGAAACGATTCAATATTTTCGAAAGGAGAAAAAATACGGAAAATTTCTCTAGGATATCTCAGAGGTGCATCATTACAATGATAATAGAATCATTTTATACAGCACTTACAATATTCTGCACCTTCTAAAGAAGCCAAACATTTCTCCAACACATCTCGGGATGGATTACTAGCACGTGAGTAATCATGCTTTTTATATTTTCCAGGTTCGGATTGTTTAAACGTTGTTGACAGTGATATTGGTGGAATAATCTGTAAAGCATATTCTTTCTCCGATCAAATCAAAGCGAGAAATGATGGATATTTGTGAATAATAGATAATAAATGTTAACCTGATTCGCATTCCACTGTTCCGGTTCTTGTCCAGTATGAATGACATTGGTACCATAATGTGTGAAGTGTTCTTTATGATTAATCATTTGTTCTGTTGATCAGTAAAAAATAACTCTGATGTATGATAGGTGAAATAATTCAATTATGCTAATCAAATGATCCTGTAATGAAAAAATAATATATCAGTATTTTACGGGTTATGGTATTTACAAAAATTAAAGCAACACTTTTTGTAAATAATATCATAATCATCATATCGGTGCTATTTACAATCAATGCAATTTTGATAGTTCTTGACAAAAAACAGGCGTCAAAACTAAAAAAACTGAATGTGTATCCGTTTATCAGAGCCACAAAATTTCAGAGTCATTAGAATTATTCAATCATTAGAATTATTGAGCATGTTCATTCCCTAGAAATGCCGAAGATATCAGGCTTCAGAATGATTCAGGATAATCAACTAATAGGATCACTGCGATAATCTGGTAATTACAAGATATTGGTGTGGCATGACTGAATGTCAAATTTGGGCCGTACATCGACAGAAATTTAAAATATTTTCATTATATTTTATTAACTCGTTGACCCATGCTCTACATTTTTGATAATTGAAGCGATCTAGCTTTAAATAGAACAGATTTATGGTACCGATATTAAAGCTTCTTGAAACTCTTGGAAATGTATCTTACCATATAGATGTGATTATTTTAATGCAACGAAAAGTTATTTAGGTCAGAATATGGAATCGGGTACCGGTATTAGGTCATGTTCTTGTAACTAAGTAATTCTATGCTTATATTTTATTGTATCACAAATACTTGCGCACAATTAACAAATTCGTGAGAGAATATTCAATCGTTTTTTTGGTTACGGTATACTCTTAATGATTGTAGCATTACTATTCAACTTTCAAAATTTTTAATATTTAAAAAATAGTTTGTAAACTTTTAGATCCCATAACAAACTCACTTAAAAATTTTTGTTTAGCAGACACGAACTGATGAATATAAAGTGAAGAAGAAAGAAAAGAAAAATCTGTCGCGATATATATGTGCAACCACACTTCAACATTAATTAATTAATTGCATCTACGAAGATCAGTTGAGTTGAGTTATACGTAATTTGCAGGAATACGTTACTGCGACACTAGTGATAGCAGATGAAAGATCGTTGCTGCGACATTAATGATGGCAGATGAAAGATCGAAAAATAAACCGCCATCGCTGAAAACTGATAAAATGCTCGTCCTCCAAATAATTCTAATCGTACAAGTCAATCAATATATTATATATTTCACCGCAATCATTAATCAATATATCATATTTAAATGAAATAATAAATTACTTTGAAATTTATATGTTTCATTATGCTATTTGAACAGTTAATTGTTTTATGAATTGCACTTCTCTTTTCTTACGAAATCTCTTTTTCTACAAATTTATGAATGTTTATGAATTTTCATTCAAATTTACAACACTTTTTTTTCTTTCAATCTTTCTTCTCATCTAAATCAATAAGTCTAACATTACGTATCAGTAAACATTGTATCCTACGTATCACGAGTTGACAAATATTGCATACCACACATATAACGTGTTGGCTAATATCTAATCACTTACTGACTAACTAAATTGACGTTTCATATTATCATGTAGTTTATAGTTTCATATCGTACTAAAAAGTTTTAAAAATTTCTCTATGTCATGCCACATATTTATTACATATATACAGTAATAGAAAGAATGTAAATTTCAATAAAAATTATATAATTATTATTTTGCTTTCACTACTGATTGTGTGGTGCAGATGGATCGCATATGCAAAAGTTAGAAATTGGAAATTCAAAAATGGAATTTCTCTTTGTCTTTTATTCGACAATTTTAAAATGAGAAAAGAAAAACAAAAAGCTGATTCGATGTAATTAAAATGGAAAAAGTAAAAGATAAAATTTTGTTTAGTATTAAAACTTATAAATAAACAACTAAAATGTATTATGTCATCACAAAAGGTATAATGTTTGATTATATTTATTTTCTCATTTTTCTTTTTCCTTTAGATAACAATGAGACTAAAAACTGAAAATGAATATTCATAATTTTGAAAGTAATGAAAAGTTATAAAACGTAATAGAAACGCTAATTATTTGTTAATTATCATTTATAGGAAAAAAAAACGAAATATTGAAAGTGTAAAAATTAAAACGTTGAAAATTACTTTATTACATTTTATGTTTAATAGAAAGATAATCTATTCGAATAGTTTATTTTATTTACTTCATTATATGATTTATTTTACTTTTCTTAAAAAGTGACTTTCGTTTAAAATATAATTAACAAACTAATTTGAATGAAGAGGTCAAAAGTTTGATTAATTAATTTGATTGTGCTTTACATAAAATATAAATAAATGCAAATGTACATCATAAATGGAATGAAATTTATTTGTCATATTTAACAGTGATAAAAAAACAGAAAATTTGCAACTGATAAAAATTTTTAGTAACAGTAATAATAATTGACAAATAGTAACAGTAAAAAAAAATTAATAAATACACTGAAAAGAGTAAAAAGTTACAATTAAGCATAAGAGCTTATCAATACAGTAATAGTACAGTAGTAATAGATTGAATGATAACATATGGAAAATAAAAATCACACCAATATCGTTTATTTATTTTATGTATGCATATATGTATAATATATATGTATATTTAAACTTAAGTGAAAATGGAATTTCAATTTGAATAAATCGATGAAATTAACAATTTCTATAAAATTTGAGGAAAAAAATTTTTTTTTAAATATCTAAAAATTGATCAATAATGAAAATAATAATATAATAATATTAATATTAAATGAACAAATAAACAAAAATGATAATGGGCGTATTTATTGTTGCTAATTTATCACTCTAAGTGATAAAGTATATCGATATAAAGAAATAAATATTTACAACAGAAAAATTTTTTGTTAAATCAAAAATCATAAAAGCTACTGGATGAAATTATAGACAGCTATTATTGTACTAAGATCTGATGATTTTGTTTCCTTTTTTTGCTAATGCTCAAATTCCGGATAATCAAAAAGAATTAGAAATTGAGATAATCAGTGAAGTTTCCTAATTAGAAATCAATATTTCTTCTTTTTTTCCCCTTTTAAATATCATTTTGTTCTTTTTGTCTTAATTTCTGATAAGCAATTAGCAAATTATATTTCTTTTTTCGATCATAGTTTAATTTCATTGAATAGCGATAAAACTGTTGACAACGATATTGACAATCAATCGTAAATTTCCTTTCTTTTAATTTCAATATGAAAATATAGAATAAAAGTATCTGTAAAATAAGCATACGGGTCATTCCTATTCGATCATTCCTTGTTGACAAGAGAAATGAGTTGTCATTTCCTTCCTTTTTAACATTAAAATTCTCATTAAAAACTGAAAATTGTTAATTAAGTATTATCCATGCAAAAGCACTAAGTGAAAAATATAAATTGCCAAAGCCAAAAGAGGTCACGAAATTGCTGAATTGAATTATATTATTAAACGAACTTACTAATTTCCTTTTTTTCTCTTTTTCTTTATTTTAATGCAAAATTTAATGAATTTCCCTTTTCAGTCTTATAAAGTTTTCAAAAAGAAGAAATTAAAAATTTATGAAAAATAACAAACAAATAGAATAAAAAGTGAAGAAGAGCAAATAAATAATTTTAACAGAATTGCAATCTGAAATTTCAACCTTTCTCTTTTTCTCTCTAAAAATCGTATCATCCATTTCACCCGGAATTTTAGCAATCTTAGTATATCAATGACATTTGCGTCCGATCAGAAAGATTTGTACTTCTGGGAAATTTTATTTTGTACTGCAAATATTAAAATTCAATGTCATTAATTATTGGAAATTATAGATTTCATTCAGTTTGTATTTGGACGCAAATGTTGAAAATATCATTGCAACTGTTATGGAATAGAATTGTATCTTATTGGAAATTGATTTTACGTATCAAATAAATTAATAATTAAATCTGTAACAATAAGAAACATTGTTGATGTCAATGAAAAAAATGAGAGATTTCCTAGTTCAGATATAACTCACATCAGCACCATGAAAAAGCGCTGTTCCATCAGAATGAATAGACGGATTACTGGTACACGTATTTGGTTCTGAATCTACCGTTACATGACTATTTTTCAATTCTTTTCCAACGGTATTCAATCGGTTACAAAGACCCATTAGCAACAATTGCTCTTCTTCTGTCGATTTACAATCATCAACACTCGGTAAGCAAAACTGATCCTATGATAACACAAAAAATTAGAAATAAGAAGCACATTATATTGCTAATTGCTGAGAAAATCGCTTACGCAAGATACGGAAAGGTCACGTAAGTTATAAAATTTGAGTGATTTTAAAATGCAATGCATACACAGAAATTTAAGAAAACATATTGGAAAGTATTTGTGCTGGACTAAAAAACTACGTAAAATTGAAAAATTAATAAAAATGATAATTGAAAATTCATTTCGCAAGTTCGATTATCTTTAAAATTATTCGAAAAATCCAATAAATTTAAGAAATTAGTTCAACTTAAATTTTTTAAATCAAAAATAACTAAATGGAATTTTATAGGAAGCTCACCTTACCAACTTCAACAATCACATCACCGGAAGAAATGCTAAACGGATTGCTGCCCTCTGCTGAATGCTGTCTTTGGGGCGAAACTAGTTTCCGATCCGGATGGGGTGATACTAGTATTGATGTCGTATAACTGCGTTTTTTATCAATTCTATTGCGTGAACGTGTTGCATTACCAGCGGTATCCCTATTATCTTTCCCTATGACATCCCTTATCCGATCTAGAAACACTCTAGGATATTCCGAAATAATGTTGTTGAAATAACGCTGCTTGGAAATTGCTTTTTTAATCTTTCAGAACAACTTTCTAAATTAGCAAGAAATATTCATTTGGATTCGCATTTTATTTTAATGGACTTCATTATCGAACATTATTATTTTAATATCTGAATGTCAAACAAATCACACATCAGCAAACGTTTGCTAAGGATAAGAACTTTTGCAAAGTTTAATGAGGTCAATTAATTTGCCATCAACCTGAGTAAGTTCTTCCAGATAGTCCACCAGATTGACTTGATCCACTGGCACGTGTTGATCCCGAAGGACTATCCAAATCGACATCTTCATTTATTGAATCTAAAATTCAGTTATGATTTGTCATAAAAATAAATATTCGAAATTTTTTACGGATTTTTTAACGAAAAAAATTCTTACAGGCTTCATTTTTGTTACGAGAAGTATTTTTTAATAAATCCGGAGTTGGTGGTTGTGGTAGGAAAGTAGAACAAACTGCATCAGTTTCATCTTCAAGTAAATCTTCATCCACTATTCCTGAAACGAATAATTAATTCATTAATTAAATTTTAGAAAAAATTTAATTTGCATGCTTGAAAAATTACTGTTTCAAATTTATCAAACTTCTAAGATATGATGAATGAAAAGTAAGTGAAACGGAAAAAATTTATTAGTTAAATTTAAACTTTTTAAATTTCTAATCTATTCTCATTTCTTCTTCTTCCCTCATTTCATATGAAAAGCTAAAATAAAGAAAGATGGAAATTTAATATAGTATGTGCCTTCACCTTCGCATAATCGATCATCTAATTCCGGATCTACAGAATGTGAATCAATGGCATCCGGATATTGTTGAAAAAAGATTCGCCTGTCCTCAATGATGTCAACATTGAACACCTCCTGAATTTATTCAAATTCATTACCGTTTGAACATTCCATTTTCAATTAATATCGTCAATATCATGATATCAGTAACAAAATCTGTTTTGATTTTCGACAGTGATTTTACAATCCCACTATTCAATTTTAAAAGTTAAACTACGATTAGCCAAGTTCCAAGTTTTTCATTTGAGATTAATATTATTATTGCAATTGTTATGAAGTCACTACTATCAACATTAAATAATTTTCGAAATTTAAGGAAATAGATAATATTGAAAAATGTTATTAACAATACCATTTTCCTTTTTTATAACCGTTATCATATCACTTTCTGTGATTATTTCAATTCATACTATAATGATTTCAAATTTGATTCTGATTTATTCATAATTATTTCCGTGATTTAGAATATAGGAAAAACTAACGAAAGCATATTTGATGATTAATTCAACCGCCTTACTCATCAAGTGGGCATTAGAAAGAAAGGAATTATTGTTGGTGATGGACGATGGTGATGGATGCTTCCAAATCATCGATGGCGTTATTACCGCACCCAAATTTGATGCTGTCATTAAATTATCCATTTCAAACCTAAAAATTTCCGATATTACAACAAAAGTGTTAAGTGATTGTTTTCCAAGGTTAAGTTGTGAAGAAATAATGAAATGATTTGGGTAAAAAATTCTTTAAAGAACTTAAAACATTTTTCCATTCATTTATTTTCTATTAGCTATTTTTCAATTTTAACTTCTCGAAGGAAAAAAAAGGATCGAATATAAATATATGAAATGTTTATTTAAGCTTTCATACTGTTTTAAATTTATATATATTTGTTGAGAGTAATTTGGAAATCATAAAAAATATTTATAAAAGTTTAAAGGAGAAAAATGACCAGGTGACTCGTTTTAAATGAAGCAATAGGAATCTCAATGTATCCATATTTTTTGCTGGTAATCTTTTCATCAATGATCTGATACAATCAACAATTTCTACATCTTCTTCAACTAAATTTTTCTGAAAATTTTCAAAATAAAGAAATTTATTTTTATTTGTCCTTTTAATAATTAAAAAAACAAATTCATTGATCGAATGGTCAAAATAATTAATGCTAATTTTTTTCTTTTGTATATTTTCCATTAAACTATTTTCATTTAGGAACTTTAAGATACTTATTTCAGTATCAGTGAAAAAAATGAATATTTATTTCAGCATTATTATTTCAATAAAATGTAACACTTCTGAACAAATAAAAATAATGTTGACAGCAAACTTATTAACAAAACAGTTTTTTGAGAATAATTAATTAAAATTTAAATTTCGAAGTGATTCGAAAGCAGCTTACCTCAGCAAATGCTATCCACTCATCGTATAACTCATGCGTCAGTAACGGTTCCGGCAATTTTCTCAGATAAAGCTTAACAACGGAAGCAATATTCATCGGATGATAGCTACTTAAATCCACTTCACTACCATTATTTGCTCGTTCAAAATCTTCACAAATTTGCTCAATTTTACTCTTCACACCACAAGTACGATAAATCCCCTAAAAAAATATTATTATTACCATATTTTGTTGAACATTGAAGAGAAAAAAGTTGAAAAATTAGATATCGGATTATAACTATTAATATAAGATTTCCTGCTTTAAATGTACTATCTATACTTGTTAAATTTTTAAAACCTCAATTCCGAAATTTCAAAAATTCGACCTTCACTTTTAATCCACGTTTTTGAAGCTCATCAACACAACGCTCCAAAACAATTGGAATCAATCGGGAAGGCTCATTTAATTGACTGGATAAAGGTACACCAAATACACTGGTACGTCGAGATAAATCAGAAAAACTTTTTGGATTCTGATCACATCGAACGGTAATACGTGATAAACATGATTTATGCCATGTCATACCACATTTCGAGCATTGAATCGTTGATAGCAATGAAAGTGTTTCGCAATGGGCGCATTTGGTCGGTTGACGTGTACGTTGCAACATATGAGACCTAAGTAATTTATGTAAATTTCCAAAAGAAAATACTTATCATTTCTCAAAAATTTATCAATTTTAAGTTTAATTACAGTCTAAGATTAATTACACATACATATTTATTGTAGTAAATGAGAAAATTACTGAATAGATACAGTTTAGAAAAATTAATTCCAAGAAGATAAATTAAATAAATTAAATTGTTTTAAATATTTTTTAAATTTGAAGAAAGGAAAGGTATATATTAATTAACCTTGCAATTTCAGTATTACATCCATCCAATGCAGTATGTTCAAATAATCGAGCTGAAATACACATTTGTAAAATGGTGAAGGTTGCTTGTTGAGTAAAGCGAATTGTTGTGATATTAAGATGAACAAATGAATGAATAAAATAAATACATAAATGAATGGAAGGAATGAAATTGCGTAATTAAAATTAATTGAATTCTAATCCCCAAATGCAAATTTATCGTTTAATGCTATTAACAATCACCGTCCAATCAATTGTTATCATTTTACTTTTTCACATTGGACGCTGTGGTAAGTAAGCTAAACTATAATTTTGTTTGTTTGATGCCTAAAAGAGGAAGGAAAAATTGATGGACAGATATGATTTTTGCAAGCATTTTAAAACTTTAATAAAATCTCAGCATTCCATTTTATGTTTTGCGCGAAATAGGAATGCTTCGGAAAGTTTCTAAAATAATAATTTTCTTGTCTTATTTTTCTTTTAATTTTAACAAAACATGCCGGCATTTTTCTTTTGTTTTCGTTCAAAGATTACATCCTGATCCGCTAAATCGATCGCATTTCGTCGTTGTGATGAAACGGACGAAGATGAAGAAGTTTGATTTTCTGATGATATACCGTCACCATTGTCACCTCCTCTACAAATTAATTTAAAATTTCTATTAAACTCACCACTCTTAATATATCTTGCTCTGTTATAAATTTCATGTTGAAATAAAAAAATGGATAACTTGATGATTTCAATTAAGCTTATTTTCGGAATGACAATTTTATAAATATCGTTAACGAATGATCATATTACAAATGTATCAGAGTTACCGAAAAAGTGATCCAGTGGAGACAGTACGACGTGGAAGATTTTGTAAGAAGGACATGTATTCAGCCCCTGGAATGTATGTTCGTGTCGCATCCGCAAATTCGTGATATTTTCCAGGTTGCGGTACCCACAAATTTGCCAATGCCTATAAGAAATTTGAAAAAAAAGGTTTATTGGAAAGAGGAAAAAAGAAATTTATTAAAGGGTCAAATATGGGTGGTCAAATATTTCAGAGTGATGAAAATCTCAAATAGTAATATGAATAAACTAATAGAATTTCAATGAAAAAGAAAAAGATCTTTTATTTTTAAAGAAGCTCAAATACAATTTTGTTTATTGCATTCAACTTTCTCTCCTCGCAATTTCAAAATCAATCGAATTTATTTGACTTGCAAATGCAAAAATGATGCATTTTGAAGGAAGGATAATCGGAAGATGACATAAATTAAGTTTACATTTCAATTGATTTACATCAAAGTGTTAAATGAATAAGCCAATTGAAAACAAAATGATGTATATTTGATGAAAAATGAAAAAGTGAAATTTAAAATTAAATTGTTTAAATTTCATTCATTAGTAAACATTTGAAATTAGTAATTGAACGATTGTTCAATTTTTTAAACAAAAAAATGTTTACAAAAAGCTGAATAATAATTTTGAAGCGCTGAAAATCTTCACATATCACTATTGAAATTATTACTTAACTTCTAAACTTTATTTACTTCTTCTCCTTTAATAGCTATCATAGAGAAAAGAGAAAAGTTGCAGCTTTTTGATGAATTTTTTTCTTTTGATTTTTAAATAATTCATCTTATCGTTTGGTTAGGGAAATTTGTTAAAATTTGTTAGGTTTACTTCAATTCAGTTACATTACGGCTAAATTCGAATTTCATCAATTTCAATCAAATTTTGTTTATTTAATTTCAACTTCAACAAATGCATAATATACACTAGTCCAGCATTCCATCAAAAAGAGAGAGAAAAAGGGAAAGAGAAAAAGAAGAGAAATAATGAAAAATCTCAAAGGAAGTTAGAAGTAATATTAGTATAAAATTATCTAAGATGAAATAACTTTCAATGTTGACATGATCACAGTAACATAACAACATGAAAAGGTCATAAACGTGAAAGGGTCACGTTTCCATAAAAACAAAGCAAATATAAACTTAGTATTGCATTTGATATCAGGAGAGAAAGAATATAAGGAAATTTAATTTATGAAAAGATTTGCAGAGAAAGAGATTGGATAGGACCAGACAGATGTCGAAAATAATTGGAATATATCCGTCAAAATGATAGTGAGAACAATATCTTAAGGATTGGCAAATATTTCTGATGTATCTAAAAAGAATTTCTAAGTTTGAAAATAAAGGTTGTATAATTAAATTTTTTTTGCCACCGAAATTAATAATTTTACAATAAGAGATAAATAGCGAGAAAAGAGAAAATGATAAGTGAAATGAACGTTTGATCAAAAATGATAGAAAATTTAACTTTCTTTCCTCAATTATTCACTTCCAATCCGATCGGCGATAACTACAACATCCTTAATAATACCTATTTAGTTACATTCAAATCATTTATTAAGTAAAATCATATAGTAATAACTTTTGAATATTATATAAAGTTAATTGAAATTCATTACTTTGCTTAATTTATTCCTCAAGTATTTATTACTCTTTAATTTTTCAATATTTATTTATTAATATTATAGAATTCAAAGTTGCTAGAAAATCGAATTAAACTTCGAAATATTAATATGCTATGGATTTTGACATTATGATAAATTGACATTTAAGCATTTCCAATAATCAACATGATTAAACGTTAACGGTCGCAAGATTAGTGACAGTTGGCTCTATAAAAGTTTACAAAACATATTTCGTTCTTTTTGCAGAATATCAGTGTGGTATTAATGATAATACCTCTAGATTAATATTTTGATTGATTGTAGCATTTTACTAGTTAATGAGGCCCGAATCGATTACAGAAATACATGAACATTAAGATACTGGACAGATACAGTATCATGATCACTTTTGTTTATCGTAGGATAATACTTGCTAACATTTGCTCTTTTAATGCTTCATTTAACCGATATATAATCTGTTGATTGATACTTTGTATTTTCATGTTATTTTTTTGGTTGGCATTTAAATTTCTCCTTTTTAATTTCACAATTTTACATATGCGGAAATTTCAGGATTGGCAATAGATTGTGAAGTGAAAGTTAGGAAGGATAAAACAAAAACAGGAAAGGATTTTTTGCAATTACATAATTAAAATAATTAATGATTACTGTAGAGAAGAATTTTAGTAGAGATGAAATGATGAATGATGGATGATTGAAGTACACTTTCAGGCTTTTCCCTTAAGTCAATAATGATTTAAAAAGGAAGGAAGTGAAGAGATTATCCGAGGAAAGAGATAAGTAATAGGAGAGAGAGAGAGAGAAAATTGGAAAGAAAAAATGAAAAAAAGCATTCGAAATAGTGATACGAATTGATTTTAAAGTGAGAATGAGAAAAGGAATGAATAGTAAATATTTATACATATATATGTGTGTGTGATGGGAAAGAAAGCCTTTATCGGGCCTTAAGCGGGGCTTATACAGGGGCCAATAATGATCTTATTTTTAACAATTAGGTATCATCAAAGAGAAAAATGTTTGCTACCTCCCTGATCCATTCTCTTTTCCCTGCTGCAATAATTTTGCCTATTATGCCGTGATTTGAATTACTATTTAATTTTTTAGTTGCAAATGAAATGCCAGAAAGAATGGAAGAAATGGATGGGAAAGGAGATGAAATGAGGAATTAATTTATGGCAAAAGTATTGATCAATTTTAGAAATTGCTACAGGAATGTGTTGGTACTAAAAATTAGTCATATCTTGCAATCCAATTATAATATCCTTCAATAAATAGGTTTAGATTATTTCAACTTAAAAAAATTCAGCTATAACTAATTAGGAAATTTGACAAGTAATGTAATATATGTAATATAATAAAATCAGACTGTAAGTAGTAGAGGTAATAGAAGAGGTCAAATAAGCAGACTTGATAAATTTCAAAAAGTCAAATTCAGTGAAATAAGTAAGTTTTTTTGAAATCATATAGCTTGTAATTTTTCCAAACTCACCTGAAAGTAATGCGTTGAGCAAGCTTTTGTTGTTTGATCACAGCGATAAACTAATTCCCTAAGTTGTCCGACGATTCGAATCTGAAAAATGCAAAATTTGAAATTGTAAAATGCATAATTTCCGATTCCAATTTCCGCTTCTCATTCCTCAGATGACAAATTCCGTAATACCATTAAATTACTATAAAATATATTTCATACTCTTTTTCATCTATCCAATTACTGTAATCTCAATGTAAGAAATGCCTAATTTTGCTAAATGCTTAACTTTTGCATAACCTAAAGAAAGAATAATTCAACAATGAAAATATCTTACTTCTTATCTTAAAGTAGAAAATTAAAGGCGACCGATTTTACTAAAATCTTACTCTCAACTACTATTCCTCTTTTCAATTGTTAGCTTTAAAATATTCTTTAGTTTACAATTTTATGCGAAAGATTTTGTTATATATATTCTCTCAGATTATTAAGGTATGCCTTTATATATACACATACAGATCATTATGTATGTGTGTATATGTGTGTATATGATTCATGTGTTAAATAAGGATTAGTTTCTTACCTCTTCAGGCCTAAAAATCCAATCTTCTACATATCTAAACCATATTAGCCTAGTCTTTTACATCCATCTCACTTTTCCTCCCTTATTATATTTCCCTTCAATACATATAAGTCTTACAAATTATTGTCACTCTCATAGGGCCTTCCTCATTTCATCCTTCTTCAAATCCATAAAAAAGGGAAAGCCTTCTAATTTTAACAATCACAAATCCTTAAGCTAAAAAAATTTGAATATATACAGCTAATAAAATATACAACAAAATTTTTCCTTTCAATTAACATCCTTTTAAAAATTATTTTAAATTTTAAGTGAAAATTAAATTTTGTTTTGAATATTTGCTAAAAGTAATTTATTTCTTCATTTTATTCCATTAGTAATTAACTTAAAGACTATAAGTAACTTTCTAACATAAATATATTTATGTACGATTCCGATCAGCTCAAACTGAACATAATTATTCGGTAGATTGGAAAAGCGGCATTAATCAAAAGAAAAAATAAAGGAAGATATATTTGATATATAAGATCTTCGTTTATTTCATTGAAATCTTAGGCTCTTTCTTTTTTGGCTTTTGGCTTCTTCTTCTTCTTTCTGGCCAACAATAACAAATATTTTATTTTTGAATTCGTTAAATGGCTGCAAAGTACCATTTCCCATTTCTCTCATTCAAAATTATTTCCTCCAATAATAAATTCATTCAATTCTTTCTTTGTTTTTTTACCTTTCAACTTTCCCATCGCTCTTTTGCATTTGAGAAAGAAAATGAATAAACAAAAATGAAAGAAAGAAAATGAAAAACAATCAAAATAGCCATTATCCATTTAATCTTAATTATTTTAATTTCTATTTTTCATTATGGAAAATTTTTTTCATTTAATATTAAAAATAAAGAATTAAATAAGTAAAAGAATAAATAATTATTGGAAAATCTTAATTAAAGAGAGAGAGAGAAGAGACAATCAGAGTTATTTTATTAGAGGAAAAGTTAAGAAATATGAAGTTACGTCTTCCACGTTACTTCATTTACGTGAAGAATATATGACGAATAACAATAAACAGAAGGATATTTAGATATGCTAAAATATTTGTAAAAATTCTGGAAAATTAAATGACGAAAAGATCTAACTAACATATAATGAAAAAAAGAATTCCTTTGCTCATTTATTCTCTCTTTTTCCTAATATGTAAGGTTTTGAGGTCAATTTTTGATTGCCATACCCGAATATGACCTCAAACTATAAAATATATCAGAAAAGTATTTTCTGGTAATATTCGAAATTGCGATTATGAGAAACGAAATTGTAATCTATAAAGTTATTCGATAATTTACTAAATATACAAATTAATTAAGTAATTTTGGCATACTTTTAGACGATATTTTTCCTATATAATTATCACATAAATAATTATTTAAATTGATGTTAGAGAAAAATCATAGATTTCTTATAAATTAAGCGATTATTATTTAAAAAAATAAAAAACATGAATACCTTTGTATCTTCCATATGATGTTGCCGCCGTTCCAATTCCACTTCCAGTCTTTCAACTTGATTCTGTGCTTCATCTCGCTAAAAAATCTTTCAAATTTAAATTCAAACTATCGAAATATTTATGCTCCTAATATTGTCTAGTATTTCGAAATAATATCGCAAAATTCGAAAAGCGAAATTATTGAATTCAATCGATCTGTTTTCCGGTTTGATTCTACGGAATCAAATTCAATATAAGTTAGATTACACGAAATGCAACAGCATAAGTTAAATTATTAAACCTTGTTTAGTGCTTCTTCTTCATTTTTCCGTCTTTTTTCAAGTTCTTTACGACGTCGAAAAAGTTCCGTGCCAACAGCTGGACCAGTGGATTCCGTTCGAATGGATATTTCTTGCGCTTTCCGATAACCATCATCACGTGAACCAAGTAACGTCCGTGCACGTTGCAATTCTTGTTGAATATCCTTCTGCAAAATATACTAGTCAAATACTGCATAAATTATTGTTCTCTTACTTAAATTGTTGCTTCAGTAAACAAAAATTTATTCTTCCGAAATATTTCCAAACATTCTTGAAGATAGCTTTTATCATTCATTTTCACAAATTGATCAGAAACGCTTTTATAGGATTATATCATGCCTGTATAACTCAGGCCTTAATTATTCAATTAGCTCATTAAAATCACTTCTGCCTATACAATTCAGTCGTTAATTATAAATTAATTAGTGTCATAAAACAAAAAAGTTCACTTACAACTTGTTTCGTTACTCGTAACCATTCATTTTTTAAAGTCCTTCGCTGTCTTTCATGTTCGTCCCGTCTCAATTCTAATGACTGTAATTTAAGAATTCAGGTACTTAGAGACGAAAAATAAACAAATAAATCTCAGGATACACAGTTAAGTTGGAATTACAAGGCAAATAAAAATTAGGAATTTGATTTCAAATGATAGATTATTGATTTGAGTGCTTTTTACATATGATAAAATAACATCGTTAGATTATTATCTTAACTTTCTCCTCAAATGATATGATGAATATTAAATATGAATAATTACCTTAATAAACCTATCCTGAATATATTTTACAGCTTCTTGTGTTTGTTCACAAAATGCGATATCATTTTCGAAGCTATTTTCGAATACATCTTTTAACGGTAAATAATGCTAGAAATTAAAAACGTTTAAAGAAAAAATTTTTAAATAGTAAAAATTAAATTTTTTAAAGAAAAAAATTTTTTTTAAAGAAAAAATTTAAAGAAGGAAAAATTTTAAAGAAAAAATTTTTCTTAAATAATTAAAAAAAATATTATCTGATTGCTTAAGCATTGATATTTGCATTATCAAAAATGAATTTTCACATTGAACTATAATGGTCAACAACCGTACAATCTAATTGTTGGATCAGTGTAACTTATCAGAAAAAACTGATTAGTTAATTATTGATCGGTCGAAAACTTTATAATACTTTTGCGTTCTTAAAATTTCCAACTTTAAGTAAAACATCGCAGAAGAAATACACTTTCATTAAGGAAATGATATAAAAAGCTAACCTCACTGATGGCAGTTTTTGATTGATTGGCAAGATTTTGTACACGTTTTGCGTGTTCTAAATCAATTTGCACCCGACGTGATACGTGATTTAGCAAATCTTTACAATATTTTGTCCATGCTGAAAGTGATGAAGTAAGTAATTTAAATCAAAATTTAAGAGTTGATAAATGACTTTTTTAATGGTATATTAGCGATGTAAAAATGATGCTCAAATGGAATTTGAAAGATTCATTTCAACAATACTATTTTATTTTCGAATTTAGGTGAACGTTATGTAATAATACAATCATTCAAATATTCTCACGAATGATAATAACGGATTTTTAGGATTTCTTTCCTAACGACAGAGAATTCCGAAATAAAAATTATAACACAGTCCTCTAAAAATTTGAATCTGAATTCAAATTCGAATGTTTAAATTTTCCTGTTCCAATTATTTTTGTGCTCCTTCAAGGCTAATAATGTTGTAGAACGTATTTTCTCTCCAAAGATTAAACTTATCTTTATGAGTTTTCTATAATATCAATAATAAAAAAACAAAGATTTTGTTTGATCGTTGAACTTTTTACTTTCTCAAATCATTTTTTTCAATTTAAAGATATTTTATGAAATTTATATGCAAATTATATTACCTTTAGCTCGTTCAAAAGCTAAATCGATTCCGTCACTTCGATCAGCGACCATTCGATCCATTTCTTCGAGATTAACAAAATCTGAAATTTAGTATTTATTCAATTTTATCCGATCTTTTTCTTTGTTAAGTAGTTTATCAAAGAAAATTATTGATATTAATATCATTTTCATCAAGTGAAAAATTGTAAAAAATAATTTCATTCAGAAAGATATTCTTGTTCCCACAAACAATACATATATCAATTACATCACAAATTAGTAAACTTTGATTTCAAAAATTAAACAAAAAAAAGTTACTACCCACAAGCATAATAACTTTCTAACACATATTAATTCACTATACAGTCCATCACTTAAGCGATCAATGATGCCCAGCATTGACCTATTCTGTCCTGCTACTATCGGACTGACCTCTACATGTTAAATGATATCTATCATATCTAAATGACTGGTATAACTACTACTAATGTATCAAATTCTATTTATGTGAGTTGACATTTAGTTGACAAAATCAACGATAATACGATCAGTGATAGCAGCAACTGATATCATAAGTGCTCCTCCTATTATGCTCTTATTTCTGCATAATAAAAATTTACCCATAAACTAATACCCATAATATCATCTTTCATTCCACATATTATCATTATATTAATATCATCTGTCACCTGTCTCATTCTTCCTCATATCTTTCCATCCCTTTCTCCGGCATCTCTTTCTTCCTCTCTTATGGCACCAATTCTTTAATCAACACTAATTCCAAATTTGAGCTTTTAATCATTCCCATTTTGTGGCATCATTTAATATTTGCAAGTAAAATGTATCGGTGAATGGATGAATGGATGATTGAGAATTAAACTAAATCGATTGATCAATCGATGGTCAGATGAAAAAAGGGATAATTTATTTTTATGTAATGGATTACATCATTTAATGAAAATACTTTAAGGTATGGCTATTTTAAATAAACTAAAATTTCCGAAAAATAACTAATAATAATGATTTTGAGGAATATAATTTCTATTAGAGTGGTAAAGAATATATTTTTTTGGAAATTAAAACAAAGAATAATTCAGCTTAATTAACAAAAAAAAGGATTATATCGCATTAATAAACATTATATATAAACAAGTTAATTTTAAAGAAATTTGCATTCTTGTTGTTTAAGTAATATATCATATTGCCTTATTTTCATGTAAACAACCTATCATCCCGATATTTTCCAAAACCATTTACAGTAATCGATAAGGTCAAGGAAAAATTAAGATTATATCTCATTAATAAACATTTATATTGCAATAGTTAATTTTATTTAAAGTTGAAAATAAAATTTGCACTTTTGTTGTTATTTAAAATAAAAGTTAAAGAAAAATTTTAATGGATTAAAAACAAAAGAATATAACAATAAATTATTCGACGTTATAGTATAAATCAATAAAAATTATCAAAACAAGCCATCTTCTCTATGATAAATTGAAAATGAATTAATGAAACAAACAAACAAAATATTTTTATGTTTTTGATTATTTTGTTTTCATTTCTCTTCCATATCATTAAGTTATGTATGAAAATTATATTAGATTTTTTCAATCGCTGATAAGTTTCAATCATTGATAAGTTCTTCTTTTTTGAATGCAATAAAAAATTCATTGATAAAAACAAAAACAAAAGATTTAGAGATGATAAATGAAGAAGACGATGATATGGTGATAAGGTCATAAAGTTCAATAGAGAATGAAAAGGATAAAGAATTGAGAAGAGATGGAAAAAAGGAAAGGATGGTAACAAACGAACTTTTCCGCCTGACAGTCCCATCAATCCAAGAAATTATTCAATGTGCACTTTTTCGAACAAATTTTTCTTTTTCGTTTTCTATTTTATAATTTTTCATCTTTCACTATTATAATTAATTAATTAAAAATATGGAAAAAGCATATATATTATTGTTGTCTGTTTGTTTGTTAATTGTTGTGATAATATGAAACATACTATTATGAGATAATGGTATGATAATAGTCTTAACACCGATAATGTTTAAATAGTAGGAAAATAATAAAAATTAATGATAATGCTTAAAAGAGTAAGAAATATAAAATAATAATGATACTTTCCATTCGTTCGTTTACTTTAACATATTATTTTATTTTAATTTTTAATCTAAATTTATTTACAATTATTCAAAAATATTCAAATAAAGCTTGCGTTTTAATCTATTCCGTTTCTTTTTTATCCGTTTTTTTAAAATAGATTTCCGTATTGCAATAAATGATAACAGATGAATAGAGTAATAAAATATCCGAATATCCAATATATCATCATTTCATCATTGTCCAAAATATAAATAAAACAGCAGAAGACATTCACTGAAATCCGTTTTTCATGGCATAGCTTTAAATATCGACGGAAAAACTGTAACAGTTGAGGAAATTTAACCGGATATTCATGCTACGAATGAAATAGGAGCAAATGGAAATAGAATAAGATAATATATACACCTTCAGCAACTTATAAATAATTTAGTAAATATCATAAATTTAAATTATCAAAAAATAACCAAATGATTTCCGGGAAAGGTAAATATTATCATTACATTCTGCGATATTTATGTAAATCACATTTTTGTATTTCTATTTTTAATCACAAAGGATTTTTATAATACAAACATATCGTCCAACGGAAATGAAAGAATAAACATTTTACTTTTTTTATTCAATATAAAGACTTGAAACTAAAGTTAAATTTTAATTTTGACAAATAAACAATCTCTCAAATAGTTGAAAGAGTTCTTATTAATGTAATAGTTCTTTTTTTAATTCAGCACTCTAAAATCCTTCTATTAAATAGACAATATGAATGGTAATTAATAATAATAATTAGTTATAAAAATAATTAATAATAAACGTAAGAATAAATTGTTATATGATTGTTTAGAAAAGATTGCAAAGAAATTTGCATGAAAGTTCAAATTCATTTCAAAAACAATGATTATAATATTTACTTATTTAACAGATATGATAAGATTTCGAAGACAAAAAAAATAATAAAATAGCCATTTATTTACTTATCTCTAATTTCAGTATACTCGTTCTTCAAATTTGTTGAAATTGATTTGACCATATGATTGAAACTATTACTACTACTATTACTACTACTACTGCTATTACTATTATTACTACTATTGCTACTACTAGCAAACTGTTGCTACCACTACTCCATCATCATAAAATTTCATTTTGGCAGACATGGGAGGCGGAAAACGAATGAATAGAATAGAAAAAATGACAAATAATAATAATATTATTATTTATGTAAATTAGAAAACAGCAGTTCATCCATCTTTCTCTCTCCCTCTCTCTCTCTCTCTGTTATTGCTCTTATCAGTGAAAATAAATCTCCGTCGATATCAAACACAGTTAGACTTCAAAATATTTGCGCCATGAAACGGTTTTGCTGTATCATTCGAGAATTAGAGAGGAGGGAGGAGGAGGAGGACATTAACATTGCATATCTATATGCTGTACAATTTACAACGATAAAATAATCAATTGTATCCGAATTAAAACTTATCAACAACAAAAGATCGCCGAAAATACGAAAAAGAAGCAATGAGAAAAAAAGCATTATGATAATTTGCATAATTGTTTGATAGTTAAAAGCATAAAATGGAATGATATATACATATAACAAAACTTCTTGATACATAACGATAATATGAATGAATTAATTTGAATTATTTATATTTACCTCCCTCTCTCTCTTTCTCTCTCCCTCTCTCTCCTTTTCTCGCTCTCTCTTTCGCAAAAATTAATTTCCCGTTTTTTCGCATCATAATATGTTGTAAATAAAAGGTAATAAATATAAAATAAAACAAATTAATTGTAATAATTTAGTTTTCCTCTTTTTTTCAACATTTTAATATAATAATTTTACTAATATATGAAATTAATTCAAAAAAAAAATTTCGTTGTATTTTTTAAAAATAAAAAATTTGAATTTGTTAAGATTATTGAATGAATTGATTATCACAGGGATATATTTAAACTTCAACATTTTCTTTTTCCTTAAATCTCAATTTTGATGTTACTTTTTCAAAACACGAGAATAAGCACATAACTATAGATGTTCAAATATCAACTGATTCATTGACAATATCATTTACAAAGAGAGAGAGAGAGAGAGAGGAAGAGAGAGGGAGAGAGAGAAAAACAAAAAAGGCATCTATTCATTCTTTTCAATCCATTCTTAGTTACTTCCATTCTCGTCGAAAATATTTCAATCTAGAAAAATAACTAAAAAAGTGGTTTGAAAAAAGGCCTCAAAAGATTTGCAGCTGTGTTCCCACCCAACAAACACTTATTTTAACATTATCAATTTTTTCTCTTTGCCTCTCTCTCTCTTTCTCTCTCTCTCCCTCTTTCTCCTTCCTATTCACGAAATTTAACTTTAAAAATAATGGAAAAGTAACGAAAGTATGATTAAAAATGAAAATGATATGAAATTCAAATATAATTTTAGAAATAAGAAATACAATATTATTTTGAAAAGAAGAAAGAAAGGAAAAAGAAAGATCACAGGTAGAAGAATGATTTTGGAAGAAAAAAGAACAGAAGTGATGGAAGATCGTTGTAAATATAATTGATTTAATCGTAGAAATTATAAATAAAATTTAATATATTCTTTTATTGACTTATATACAGTTGAAATTTTTTAAGCTAAAACAAGCTAAACGCCTCATGAAATCTTATCATTTATTTATTTATTTATTTATTTATTATGCATAGGAAAAGAAAAGAAAGGGAAAACAAATGAGAGAAAGAAAGAAAGAAAAAATGCAAATACCTTAAATATCTCAAGCATGCCTATAACTTTCCAACAATAAATTTAATGAATGATATGCTATCAGAACAATAGATAAAGATATCATTTGTATGCGTTGAAAAATAAAATCAGTTTAATAACATAAATACACTTATCATATCATAATAATATATATATTGATAATTTGAGTTAGTTTTTTTGGATTTATGGAAAGATGATAAGTTAGATTTTTTTTTTAATTA